GAAAGAAAAAAAAATTTCCGAATAAATAGTAAAAGGGCTTGCCATAGACGTTGGTTTATATGGTCTCGTTTGAAGGAATAGTCTCCTTGTTCCGCAGTTGGATTCGAATCCGCGACTATGGGATCAGCTTATTACAAATAAACTATGGAGAAAAATCTCTAACCACTGCACCAGGTAGAATAATATCGTTTTGCATCAATTTGTGTCAGTTTTATATTGTTCAGTTAGACGAAATATTCCAAAGCCAAAGTAAGAATAAAAAATGAAGGCTTTACAAGTCAGCCAAAATAATAGCCATTAATAGGATATACCTTCTAAAAAGATCATTATAATGATCACAGAATTGACGAATTTTGAAAGAAAAAGACGATTTTCCTGCAATCCTTCTAACTTCAACTTATCTGATAGAAGTCTGCCTCGGTTTGAATTAGTTCTAAAACATCTTCTTAAGGCAATAAACAGGTTAAAACAAAATTACCTACAAATAAAGAAAGTTGGCAATGGAAAATCTGAAGGCTTTTTTTCTGTCAAACAATTTAGTTGTTTATTAGCCCTGTCGTCTTCAGTCAATAGAACATCGAAATATAAACCTATGAACAAGCTTATTTTTTCCAGTGCCAGCTTCCCCTATTTATGAAGTACAAATGACATTGATCTCTCCTCACTGATAATGTTCACAAGAACATGTTTTGAGTACAATCAAATTTCAAACAAATGTAGCTTCCTAAAATGAAAATGCTGTTAAAGGTCTTCAGCAAACTGTTGAAAATGAGTATAAAGTTTGCAAATACAATCTTCATTGTATCTTCGAATTATGAAGGGTACATTTTATACCTATTTCAGGTTATTGTTTCTTTTTTATCACGGTTTACGCCGTTAAGTTTTTTGTGTCAATATAGAATATTTACCTCCATTACTTCGGGTCAGGTCGGTTGGGTTTAGGTAGATCCGTGGATTCTCTGTGATCTTTGCGTTTTGCATTGTTCACAGGATGAAAGAAATTGATTATTATTAATTTTCAGCTGTTATGCGACACTGATATTTGTAAATATATACTATGAAAACAAGGACAGAGATTTGTTAAAAATCATGTGTGTTTAATATGCACATATATGAAAGATAAGTTGACAATGCAAATCTTATTTCTTAGTTCTGTTAGTTGCTGAGGTTCGTGATATTAAACGAATAAATATACATTTCAATATCATGTGGTCACCGACATATTATATTGTTAAAATCGCAAAAGGATTACCAGTGCATTTAAATTCAACCCTTTCCTATCATACAATTTTATGAAAAGTAAAATACAAACAGTTTAAACAGTTTCTTGGATATTTCAATTAGAGAAAGATTGTTAATCGCTTACATTTTTTCAAAGCTTAATGGCGGTATACCAGAGATTTAAAAAAGTATTTACTCTGAAAACGAACAATGAATTAGATATGAGTAAGACAAATAGACACTTTAATGTTTACCTTGAATTATCAAACGAGACTTAAACTGTCTTCTTCTTTTCTGGTTTCTTTCATTTTGACAGTTTGAGGTAACAGAAAAACTTGATAGATAGTAAAATAGAGAATCTTTGCAAAGTAATAGAATGCATAAGGAGAAAAAGAACTGTTTGCAATGGGTTTTTTTTCGTTTAAGGAGCATGATTTTAAAACTACAATCTTTAAACTTATAATTTTAGGAAAAAATCACACGTTTAATGGAATGTTTGTATTTCATTCACAGTTTGAAGACATATTCGCTGGAAATTTGTGCAATAATGTTTGGGTAAGTGCATAAATTATTCAAAATTTTCTCAGAAAATGATATTTATCTTAGACATAAAATTTTATACGGATATTTAAAAAATAATTAGAAAAGGTTAATCACGACTGCATTTCGAGATAATAGCAATAACATTTTTTTTCTTCATGATTTATGTAGATAAGCTGAAAAATGATTGCAAGGTAAGTGAGAAAATTCTGTAAAAATTTTGTTACAGTTTTATCTAAAATTTCATAGAAAAAGGTATGTCGTTTCAAAATCAGTTAAAAAATAATTATATATTAGTCAATGCATCAATTTGTTTTCCATAGTAGGAAAAATTGAAATATATGAACATCATTTAAAACAAATAATATCCACTTTTTCCTTATTTAAAGACGTTTTACATGTACAGCTGCATATATCGAATGATTAATATGAAAGTAATCTTTCATGAAAATCCTGTACCTAAGTTTTCAAACGATAATATTTTACTTAAGGTTCCCGTAAAATCTTTCAAAAGGACAAGATTTGATGATACTTAAAAGTTTGTCAGACTAAACCATTAGACAATGGGTTTCTGTGTGCTTTCACACACCTTTTAAGAACATCACAAATATTTAAAATCTTGTCAAAGGTTTTTATAAATCCTTTCCTTTAAATCATAAAAATAAAGAAGAGATAAACGACCCGTAATTCGCATGGAATAAATGAATATAATCTGATTTATGACTAATCATTTAAAAGGTGGACGTTTGCCATTACAGGGTGGGTTAAAAGTTTTAGCAATAAAATAGTTTATTATTGTGATAAAAGTAGTGACAGAAAAACGATAAGACTTTTGATAGATTTATAACCTTTAATTATTTGTAAACGAATGTGTTTATTTAGTGCTTAAATCTCGAAAATTGAGTTGAGTATAACAAGAATGTAATATAATGTGAAAGTAAAAAAATTCTTCTAGCGTTCTTTATTATTTTTCATTAGATTATTATTTTATCAATATGATATCCTTTAGCTTTCCAGTGTACATTTTTTATTTTAAAATGATTTGGCAAAATAAACACATAATCAGTCAGTAAAATTTATATCACAACTACTTTTAAAGTTTTCTTTTCATCGTCGACCTGTGAATGAAAATTAGTGCCTTTAAGAAATAAAGAAAATTTTAAATCAAATTCTTTTGAATAGACCTGTAATCATAAGGTTAAGATCTTACTCTTTCCGGGCGTTGTTTTCTTGCCTGTAAAACAATAAAATAATTTCAGATTCATTGGCAACATTACAATGCTTTAGGAAGTCTATTTAAAATAATCACTTTTGAATCACAATGTTAAAGTTGTTATACCACCCAAGGATAAGGTCTAAAGTTTCAATATTATTGTCTTGGAAGTAGAAAAGGAAAAAATATATACAGGTATAGCTTCTATTTTTCATCTTCAATTGCTTTGAGAATTTTTCACTATAAATTATCTTTCCATTAAACAAGTTTTCACACAACATTATGAAATATATATATTGATCAACACACTTATGTTCTTTTACGGATAAAAAAATATTATGGAGATGTGCTTTAACTTTGGAAGTTATTTACATTTAATACAAATTTGTATTTCTTTCAAATTGATATTATTATTCTGTTTATTTAAATTTGTCACTGTCACACTTGTTATTTTATGCTATCAAAGAAAAATATTACACCATTTTATGGAAAATCAAATAGCTGTTACATTAACAATGGAAAAAATATGAACAATCCATTTCTGAACAATATTTCCAGTTAATCAATGCATCATATTCTAAATTGTATCAAAAGAACATACATCATGTTCAAAGATTTAATGAAGGTTAACAAGCCAGTATCCTTTTTAATTTTTTACAGAATTTTGATCATGGATGCGTCTTCTAGTGTGGATTTGGATGCAGGAGGAATAGCAACTCCTTCCATGTCCTCCGCACATGGATACGCTTTCGTCCCCTCCCTCCATCTGATGACGGAAGTGGAGGACCCCCGGGCAACGACATCTATCAGTGTTTACTCCAACCCGATAATCGGTGCATCACCCGCTGTCATGGGGTATTCATTTGTGCCACCATTTCAACTAATACAGGAAGTGGATTCCAAACCAAACACGTCCGGGAAGCCTCCGACACCAAAGGCAAGCTCTGGTTTGTTGATGGAGAAGACGTTCTACAAGAATATTTCGAACACCTTACCGATAAAAATTAAGTAAGTTTCACTTTCAATAAGTATTTTGTCATTTATATATTGGAAAAGTGAAAATAAGAGTAACCTATTTTTACTGATGTGATGTATCGTAAATGTTTGTATAGATGACATTGCGTTGACCTCACCACAGCTAACTTAAGGTGCAACAAAAATGCAAAGACATGCAATTCCTGTGTCATTTTTATTGTAATTAAAATAATCAATGAACTAAAATATATATTTTTTACAATTTTATGCGAATATGTATATTTGTAGATTCTCTTTCAGAATTTAAGTAGCCTAAAAATAAACTTGCAATAAAATTAAAACAAATTTAAGGATTAATTTTTAAAACATATGCCTCCAAGGTCCTTTGCTTTCAAGCAGGGTTCAAATGGACATTTTTATCCAAATTGCAAAAGATAGTAAAAACAAATGAAAATTGTAGAAAAATATACATTTATTTTGTATAAAATCAATTTCGTAAAATTTTAATTATCGTAATACAGATCATGAGTTTAACAATATAGCCTCAAATAACAACACGAAATAATTATTTTTTCTTCTGACAAGTTGAAGTTTTAACATTATGCATGTATTAAGTTGATTAAACCATGTTCTTTCTAACAAACCCCATTCAAATCAAATACGTCTGACATATAATCTTTCATTAAATAATTCCTATGTATTTATCCTGAACAGGTCACTAAACGTTTATATAAAAGAAATTATATGTATTGCATTACTTTTTTATGGGTAACCCAAACCTTAGCTTTTAATTGAGAGTACAAGATGACTCTTAGATAGCATAAGGAAAACCTCAGACAAAAATAACATTTATTTAGTTACTTCACCATAATAATACTTGAATTGTCTTGCATCAAAGAAGTCGGCTCTCTTTCAATGGTATCGCCAATCTCTGTATTCTAAAGGTTTCAATCCTATCAGTGCAGTAATTGTCTACATAGGTTAATACAGACAATCAAATATTCGAAACACCATACTTAATCTACACCAATCCATGTTTACTATACAACTAAATACATTTAAATCCTCTTTCAACAAGGAACACAGCACTATTAGGGGTACACATATCAACAAAGTTTGGTCGCAAGCCCAGTACATAGCGTTGAAACATTAGCCTAAATACTTATCAATAACATGTCAAAAATTGAATACAATCCATTAATTAAATCAACAGCGCATGTAAATTTATCGATAATGAAGATATAGGATTTTGCTCCCAAAGACGCCTGAAATAAATTATAACGAAACTGAGCTACCCAGATTATATTTTAAATTCAATCCGAGCTTTTGTGTAATTCGTTTTGATCTGAGTCAGGGGTTACATAGATGCTTAATTCATGTGGCGACAAAGGTCCCCTCACTGGACTCTTAATAATGAGTTTGCACAACTGTTGCCTGCCCCAGGTTGATTTTGGCACCCGTTTCAATAATGACTTCTACCATAAGGAATGTTATTTGTAGATAGGAAATGTCAACACTGCACACCAACTTTGCATTGTATCGAAGAGAACAACAAGTGGTGAAAGAATCGCTTTTATGTTTCATTAAGGTTTTCTTGAATTAAGACATTCGTTTAACAAAATGGCAGATTTAGGCTTGGAAGAAGATTTTGTGTGGCAATATAGAATTCCTGACTTTGATTCACTTAGTTTGGGGTAAGTTACAAATTAGAGAGACGGTTGTTAAAAGTCATCAAATCGTGTTCAAAACCTACCGCATGGAATGTTATGAAAAACATATGATTTGATAAATTGGTATTATTTACCCTTCATCATCTGTTAAAAGATGTTTTTCTGCTAAAAAATAAAAGTTCAAACTTGGAGCATTTGCTACACGTTGTCATGCGTTGTTTGGGATGGAGTGGTTCGGTTACATGACTGTTTGATTCCTGTTAGAAAGGATTATATGTTACGCTATTTGCATATGCCATCTTAGTTTAATTAATGCATGTTCCAGAGCCTGCTAAAGAGGGTTAGTTTTAGCTTAGACGGATTATTGGTTGGTAATTTTTATTTTTTAAAATTTGTATATTAACATTCTCGTGAGCTATGCATAACAACTGAATTTTTCAAATTCAAGAAAACACGACGACATACATACATGATGTGAAGCCATGTTTTAACGTTTACTGAAAAAAAAATGTAAGATAAACGAGATAAAATATTTGAAGATGACAACAACACCCCACATCAAATTCAAGGAAACAATAAAATTTCTAAAGTTTTAAAAAATCACAAAGTTTAAAAGTTATTGTTCAAATAATATAAACTTTCTCGTTCATATCTACATTTTCACCTTAGGAGTTTTCAAATCGATAGATATAAGATCTCAGCTCTTTTGAAAACTATCAATGTTTGAATTGTGTGATCCACATATATAATGCATTGTTATCTATCTATATGTATATACATGTATACTGCGATTTTGCAAGCAGTAAAAAGAGAAAATTAGACTGGAATATGATCTTCTACAGATCTGTATCACGAAATTGAATTATAGTAGGTAGTAAGAATCGAATTGGCATCAAATAATGATGATGTCGAACATCCGTTCAAATTTTTTTGGTCTAGTTACAAACTTTCATAAATATCTTAAAGGCTGTGACTTTCAAGAGAGATATTATATGTAGTTATGAAGACAATATTAATCTATATTATATCGCCTCATATCTATTTTTCACATAGATGCTATAAAAAGATCGACGAGGAATAAATTAATTGAATTTCTATATTAGAAGAAATTGGAAAAAAACTTTTCCCAGGATTATTAACATATAATAGGAAAAAATCGCACGGGGAGAATCAATATGTTGCAATTAGTTTCTGAGAATAATATTGACGGTTTTGTTGAAGTCTGTAAATTAAGTTGCCGTCGGTGAACATGGTTGTTTTATTTGCTATTGGCATAAAATACGAGGATTTTTGCCGCGTACGAGCGAAAGCTATTCAACCAATATACTAGTAATCAATTGTATAATTTTCATATAATAGGATATATAATATAATGTGAAATAAATTAAACATAGGTATGATCACTTTTAGTCTTTCAATCTTATTTCCCTTTTCATTAAATATAATTGGAATTATGATACAATTTTATTCTACCACATTACAAATAAAACTAAATGTTGTATATAAGTTATAATGAAAATAATAAAAGAAAGATTCGTAGCAGCACATGATGAATATGGAAAGAAAAATTCAAAACATACGAATATTCACATTCAGTTGAATGTGAAATGTATTGACAGTTACAATGGGTTCAAAACAAGATTTTGTCTCTTTTCTTAATGTAAATCACATGCATGGTCTACAAAACCTAAATTTAAAGCACTTGTCCGAAGATTCCATACTTAAGTGCGCATGTACTGTAAGTGAAAATGAACTCACTTTTTGGTTTCGATTTCAAAAACCAAAAACTATTATTTAATTTCTGAAGTATTGAACACTCTAAAAATTCATTAACAAAAATATCTTTGCAAAAGGTTTGCTTATCACAATTACTACATATCATTTTCTACATCGTCTTGGCGTTCTTTGTTTGAAAGCAGGATTCTGCCAATTAACTTGTAAGGCAACCGTCTTAGATATCCGCCTTGGTGCATGATTTTCCATTTAGGGAACATTACTGATGACAGGACGTTTATTGATTGTGGTGGAAGCAAGGCGGGAACCAGTTCCACGGAGACTGTATACAATAATTTTCAATCATAAGGTCCAAATAGGTCGTTAACAAAGTAAATTAAGCTGTTACGCCATTTCTGAAAGGGTAGCCTTTTATCCTGCAACGGGCGTTAATTCGTAGCGTTAACTTATACACTGTATATAGATGAAGATTGTGTATTCTGGTAAGGGTATGAGATGTTATATTTAGTCACAAGGCATAGGAAGTACCTTTAAAGATAGAATTAAGGCCAACTTTTTTCGAATTGGATAATGCTTAATTTCATGGTACGTATCCATATGTGTTTATTGAAATTTGCTCAGCTGGTTTTTTTTTTGTCAAACACAGCATGTTTAAAACCAAAAGCGGTTTATTTCAAGTTTATTCTTAATTATTATATTCTAATTAAATCATTTTCCGCTATTGTTAATGAAAAACGGTTATTACTGAAACCAAGATGCTTTGTCAGTGTCCTGTATGTTGTAATGTAAGGTGTAATTTTCTTCTGCGCAGCAGTTTTTCATCATAAAAATGCACTCATTTGCTTCTTCCATGAAAAGTATTTTAGATTTCCACCCACATTTGAAAAGAGGAAAACGCTTTTCACAAAAAGTTTACGTCACTTGAGTTCATTGTATTTCTGCTTGCAAGTTATAATTTGTCCTTATATATTCATTCTGGAAGTACCAGGTGATGTAAAAGAATTATACCGTTGTTGTTTTTTTTTACGAATTTGAAGTTATTCAGTCATTCCAGTACTTAAAAGTACTAACTCAGAAGCTTGTGCAGCTTACTTCTGTTTTAAATTTGTGGACGTGGATGTCTGTTTTGACAAACAATTATTTATCATCAATAAGATAAGTAGGATAAGAGAGCAAAAGAATATGAATAAGGAAGAAACTCGTCCTCCTTTAATTTGACTGAGTTTTATTATTTCCGATATAGGGTACAAAAATAAAATGTGTAATGATAAGCTTCATTGAGACTTACTTCTACGAAATGCACAAAAATGAAAACAGCTTTATTAAATATTGATATAATAATATATCAAGGTCATATAACATGAGAACTTAAGAAAACACTTTTAATGCTCAAGAATGATACGTGCAAAATATATAAAAGGTTTAAGAAGATGTAAAATTATCAAGCTTAAAAATGCAATAAATTTTATAACAAAAACATAAATATATTCATACAAGTACCACTATATCTTAAAAAGGAATCTGCAACAAATGAGGAAAAGGGCGAAACGAGTTTCACAGTGACAAAGCATTATTGAGAAGCAGTTGTTTTCTGTGACAAGTCTTAACGAAAGGAAATGTGTTAATTTTGATCGTTGGCGCATGGCACTTTGATTGTAGGGTGTTTCCGATTGATAAGCCTTTACCTTTAAAACTGATTATCCTGGATTCTGGATTTGACTTGGCATTGTAGAAAGCTAGAAACATATAATGGTATAGCCGATATCGTAGCATCTAATTTTAAGGAAACCTTATGTTACAAATTCAAGTTCTTGCTACATAGTTATGTTTTTTTTTATCACGGCAATCGCTTTTACATTTAAGCTCACCTGAGCTGAAAAATTAAGTGTGATTTTCTGATCTTATTATATTCTGCCCATCGTACGTCTGTCCATCTTTGTATCTAAACTTTTTCAAAATTTTAATTTTCTTTTTCAAGAACGATGAGGTCAATTTTTTGAATAACCACTGGATTAGAATGTTGTACTTTACTGAAAACATTATAGTGGTAGAGTGTATTTGTTCAAAGCAAACATTTGTCCCTGGGGGTAGGTTTGGAAACAATTTGCGCTTAACGTTTCACTTAGAAATATATTGAAAAATAATCTTCTTATTGATCACTTGACCAGGAAATTTGAAATTAATATGAAAGTTTCATAAATAAATCAAATTCAATTTTAATATAATTATGAGCCTTTAGATAGGACAATGAGCAATTGAAGTTTATTTAGGAAGTAGAGGAAATACGGGGGGAAAAACTATAACAGTATCTCTCTCGAAAACTTCAAGGTCAGATTGTCATATTTGTATTGTAGCATTCGTTAGAAAATTTGATTCATTAATATTTGCTCTGTAGTGTAGATTTAAGTTTGTTAAAACCATGGGGGAAGGGAAAGACGACAATGAGTAATCAAAATTCAGAATGAATACACAGAAAAATCTTTCTCTCAAAAACTGTAAATCCAATGTCAAGTCAAAATTATCGTGAAACAATTTATCATGTATTTCAATTTTTCTAGTTTGTTCTGTTTATATCCCTTGGGATAAGAGGAAGCTAAATTATGTGATCAAAGGTTTACATAGTAATGCAAATGGGAAAATCTCATTATGTTGGATCATAATGACTTAGGTGAGGGTTGTGGCCCATTGTTACCAACATGCTAGTTTTTATTGAAACAAAGATAAATTATATTGATTAAAACAGTTCTATTTTTTATTACTTGTAGGCAAATTTCATACAACTCAGATGAATTGGAGACTCCAAGGAACGGTAGTTTGTCTCAAATGTATCGGAAAACTCCCCGTATGCAACAAGAATTTGAAAACTGGAATAAAGACATTGCAAAACAAGTTGATCATTGGATGAAAGACAAACCTGCACAAAGTGGTTTTTACAGTTCGTTGTCAACAAAAAGAGCTCCACGTTTTAGCAATTCGAATATTGTTAAAAGAAAGAAACTACAGAAGAAACGGTTGAAATTAAAAGATTTGGATGACACAAAGACATCAGGGGGTTCTACAGTGCGCGGTTCAGATTCAGATTTTTCAGTGGATAGTGAAACTTTTCGTAGCAGACGATCATACAATGGTCGACCTCCTTTATCCAAATCTTTTCCCATCAGTAAAGACGCCCCAGATGACGAGACCTCTGTCTTTGGGAGCATACATAACGAAATTGAATTTAAGAAAAGGTACCGAAGAATGTTTGATCTTAACAAACACCTTCAGTTTGTTAACTCGACAAATGGACTCATGGGGAAAAAGATTTTCAAAAAGACACATCATCTTCCACCCATGAGCACACAATTACAAGAGGCAAGAAAACCACAAAAACTTGAGTGTTCTGAATTATTTGCAATCACAACCGTGCAACAATCAAACGATCCAAGTGAAATAACAACATCATCAACTCAGAAAGTATTCACAAGTACCGAGACTTCTGAACTTTCTGATAACAGTGTTTTTGGACAATCCCAGTCAAGTTCAAGGGATATAGGTCAAAAAGTAGTGGAAGCTGAAAAACATATCAACTTTTTACGACAAACAAACAAACCCTTCAAACCAGAAGTCTTTAAATTCGGAAAATTACCAAAGATTTCTAATAATAAGGAGGTAAATTCAGACAAGGATAGATACTCAAGTAAAGAAAGCATGGACAGCAAATCCATTACAACTCGTCTGAATGACTCTTTGCAGAAGTGTGCTTCTTGGGTATCTGAAACAGATTCCGTGAACGGTGAATACGCCGAAGTGCGGGAGATGAAAGTGACGATTAACATAAAGTATAAATCCGCAGATAAAGGAAAGACGAAAACAAATGAATTATCTGGAGGTCTAAAAGACAATGCAGTGAATTTAACACCTTTCGATAAGACGAAAAATATGACTGAAATTACTGAGCATGAACATTTTCGGGGGATGTTAAGTGAATAGTGATACCTTTCGATAAACCAGTCATATCTTTTCAGTGGTTTAGAAAAATTTCTTAAGTTAAGTTAGAATTTGTTTGAAATTCGAGAATCAGTAACTGACTCCAGGTAAAACGATCAAATATTAGAGTAAAAAAAAACACTCGAAAGCCTAATTTAATCAACAGAAAGAGAAAACATCATATTTATTCATAAAAGGTGAAATAGATGGTGTTGTTAGACTTTGTTATACAAATAAAGTTGCAAATGTGATTGCATTAAGACTGAAGTAATGTTCAATCTTTCGATCATTTCAAAGTTAATGTAAAGTTACATAACTAGAGCTATATTAAAATTAGCTGTTTTATACTCTTGCAAATTTAAACCCTAGAACATATTATACAACATATAACAAATCATCTGCATACTAGTATTCCAATCAGCTTAAATAAATGTGGTTGTCAAAAGTCCTTTTTAAGTTTAAAGAAGACATCTTTTTTCGCATTTATAAGGTTCCAAAAATTCCTTCAGTCTTATTTGTGCATTATAGATTCAAGTTATCCACTAAGATAAACCAGATTATGAGTAACAAAATTCATTCTATTTCACTTCATTTATAATTTCTGTGGCATTATTTCACAATTTTAACTGAGAATAAAACATGCATCCTTGAAAAACTATATTCTTAAATCGAAAAAAACAGTCATGTTAGGTTAAAGGATGGCCTCTGCACGAGGATTGAATCTTGGCCGCCCTGTCGAGCGAGTGTATGATAGGGGGTCGGGTTTCGATTTTCGTATAAAGTAACCGGTACATGGTGACATCTCTGTAAACTGAATACCAGAAGTCCTTGAAAGAGACGTAAAACAACATCTCATCAATTTAAATCAAATCCAACAACATATATTTATTACATATGTACTGTTTCTTCGCCTAACTTCCTACAATTGAAATTAAAGCCAAGGCTCTTTTGAAAAAGGCCTTCAAAATCAAGGTCCCGTATCATGGTAGGAGTTGGCACGATCGAGATCCCTCATTGCAGTTGGAACAAAGTATTAAATTATGCTATGTATTCTTACCAAAGATACACAAATTTAGGTAGGTGGTATTTTTTAGAGGTTTCCATTTCAGATCTTGTAAAACAATTCTTTGTTAAGATTTTAGACCAAAAAATAAATAGCCATCAAGCAAGGCACTCAAGTTTATTTCGGTCGAAGTGGAGCTGGTGCTTGAAAATCAAGTCCATGACCTGATCACTCCCCACTCAAATACAATGTATAGGAAGAAATCAACACGCCCTAAATAATAATAAATTTCGTCAATTTGTATCTGGTTGAAGTTTACATCTCATAAAATAATTCAGCTCCGGTCTCGTGTTAAAAGTCCGAATCGGAATGGAAGATTCATGAATTATTATGCATCAGCCATGATTTGACCAGCAATTCAAATGAAAAACTCTTATGACACCTGCACTTTCGCTCTAAGTGCCGAGTATAGGACTAGATTTGAATCCCCAGACGGGTATATGGTGGCACTTCTATATAGTTAGAAAATGTCAACGTACAATAATTAATTAATCTTTCTAGGATACAAAATGATCCCATTACATGTATCTTCATCGATATCGGAATGTCATAGATTTAAAAATTGTGTCCTTTCTTTATTATTTCTGTCCTAGCCTATAGCTATTAACGGTAGTTAAGACATGACTCTTATCAATTTATATCCATTTCCCTTCGCAGTTTGAAAAAAATACGTTAATTTTAATTAATTATATAAAGAGAAATGCTGTAACAAAGATTATGTTACTGACCTTGTCTATAATAAATTGAAAATTAGAAAGTCCAACATGTACATTAAACTGAGCTTTTTTTCAAGTTGGATGGCTGTTAACCTTTAACTTTTTTTTGTGTGATATTCTCTAAAAAAAAAATTCGTCGCCTTCGTTGATAAAAAAACATTTATTGAAATCATATTAAATTTTTTGACACTTTATTTATTAAAAAATATTCAAGATTAAAAAAAAATTACACAATTACGAAAATTACGACCGGTGTTGAAAAGACTGTAAGTACAATATACAAGTTAAAAATGTACATGTAAATTGGAGCAATAAAAAAATAATAAACCGAATTTAATTTTTTTGTATCATTTTCCACTTGACATGCATTTCCTTCACCGTTTGTGCCTAGATAAAAATTTCTAGAATAACATCAGTGTAATGATATTCCACGAGGAAATATTTCCTGATAACCAGGAAGGAACGTTTTTCTCTATTGTATCTCAAACACATCAATTAAAAACAGTTTAATGTTCCTCTTATGTATCTAAAATCAAATCAAAATGAACTAGAAAAAATATTTTTTTTAAGTCTTTCTCTTTTGTATCTCAAAAGAAATCAATTAAACTTATGGTTTTAATGACTATAAGTTTTGTTTCTGTTGTCAGAATTTTATACATAGATAATTAAGTCAATTACAATATCATATTGTAAATTCACACCTATCAATTCACTTACTTTGTATATTTCATTGTCAATATTGCATTACTTCAATCAGTCTAAAATCAAGTAACGACCAGAGTTTAATTAAAAAAAAGAAAACTTGTTTCTATTGAAGGATATACGGAGTTTAACAGATGCTTCCCTAGGTTGGGAAGCCTAAAATGAACGCTCTTAAGTAATAATGAAGAAAACATTTTATATTCATAAGTAGCTCATTTGTTTATAATTAAGCATAAACATAGAAGCTTAAAAAATTAATTGTATAATGTTTCATTGTTTTCCTATTCCGTGAATATATACCACTCTGAGTTTTCTAAACTTGTACCCAAATCAGGGTAGAGAATTATGAAATATGAACTTTTTTCCTGAATTAAGACAATTGAAGGTAAAAGATTAAAATACATTATCAAGGCGAAATTTCAATTACACACATCATTTTTTTCTGCTAAGTGCACTTATATTTAAATAGAAACCCAGCAGTAATCAAAAACATGCAAAAATCTAGATACATACTTTGTACTTAATACCTACTTATACATGCTTTGACAAGTGTTATCTAAACATTTCATCAGATTTCCTTTCTCTGAAGGCCTTATTTTCACTTCATCTTGAATTAGTTGTTTATAACCAAATCAAAAAGTTCACGAATTTGGGTAATTCCTTATAATCTGAGCCAATAACAAATTTCGCTTAAATGAAGTTTTAGCGAAGAAGATGTCTCGTCTCATGAAATAATGTAAAAATAACGTTTTTGTGAATAAAAAGCAATTAACAGTACTTGGAAAAGAGACTTCAATTTGAACAAGTAGGTTATTTTTTCAAACTTGTAGGATTTTGTCCTCTTCTGAAACCCATAAGAGTGTAGCAGGGTTTTTATTTGTTTTAGCCAGGTGCCTCAAATACGTCATCTAAATCCTCTTCTCTCTTCATGTGATCATATAATGACGTATCAGCTTTACCGTCGACAAAGTTCATGTCTAAATCGTGATAATTTTCTTCTTGATCTCTGTTTTTCTTGGCTTTCTCTTTTTCCCACAGGGCGTTGTAAACGTTCTGTGAATCTCTTGAAGAATATCGTGGAATCTGTTTTGCTTCCGAATACACGGATAATCCCCCAAACTAAACAAAAAAGGTAACTCTTTTATCCGGTCTATTTTATAAAAAAATATATTGACATCAATATTTTGATACTAAATAAATACTTCTGAAAAAAGTATTTTTTAAAAGTCAACATGTCCACATGTGCAATGCCATTGATAATTTATATTATCTTATTGCAAATTTGATATTTCTACTAATTTAATCTAAGCAATATTTTATCAATTGACATTGTAAGATGAAATGTAATGAAACATATATAGGAAGAAGAAACCTTACCCCGCTGTCCACAGCCGAAAATTCCACAAAGGTGTCTCTTTTAGATTTTCCTTTTCCTTTAAGTTTTGGTGAAAAAATGAGACAAAGAACGATTACTACTGCCAGAATCAGGGCCCCGATAACACTACCGACGACAACGGCCATTTCCACCGAAGCTTAAACGAAACAAGAGGCCCATGGGCCACATCGCTCACCTGAGTAACTTTGTTGATGCAGCTCTTTCCTAGATTTCCCCTCTTGTTATACCGCCCCCTACCCCCTTCCCCTGTCATGATTTTAATACTTTAGAATTTACAATGGATCTTGGGAAGAAGATTTTTCCTATATATTTCTATGTAAAACATGGATTTCCTATTGTGGTCCCGCCCTTCTCTAGGGGTCATAATTTTAACAATTGATAATATACACTATTCCGGGATGCTCCCACATATGTTTCAGCTTTTCTGACCCAATGGTTCTTGAGAAAAAGATATTTCCTATATATTACTATGTAAAACTTGTAGCCCCGCCCTATTCCTGGGGGTCATGATTTTAACGATTTAGAATCTACACTACCCCCGGATGCTCCCACAAAAGTTTCAGCTTTCCTGGCTCATTGGTTCTTGAGAAGAAGATTTTTCTAAGAATTTTCCTATGTATTTCTTTATAAAATTTGGATTCCCTATTGAGGTCCCGCCCTACCCCCCAGGGGTTATAATTTTAAGAAATTAGAATCACCCCTACCCCAGAATGCTCCCTCATAAGTTTCAGATTTCCTGGCCCAGTAGTTCTTAAGAAGATTTTTAAAGATTGTTCCTATATATTTCTATGTAAAACTTGATTCCCTATTGTGGCCCTGCCCTACCCCCGGGGTCATTATTTTAACAATTTAGAATCTACCCTATCCCAGGATGCTTCCACATAAGTTTCAGATTTCCTGGCCCTGTGATTCTTGAGAAGAAGATTTTTTAATGACCCCACCCTTTTTTGTCTTTTCTTGTCTATCTCCCCTTGTAAGGGGACTTGGCCCCGAATCTTAATAATTTAAACTCCCCTTTACCAAAGGATGTTTTGTACTAAGTTTGGTTAAAATTGACACAACGGTTCTTGAGAATAATTCGAAAATGTAAAAAAAAATTACAGATGTACAACTGGACAGACGGACGGACGAAGGACATCAGATGATCAGAAAAGCTCATTTGAGCTTTCAGCTCAGGTGAGCTAAAATATCATAGAGATTTTGCAAGTAATTGAACAAATATTTCAGGATTTGTTGAAAGGGTAACTAGAAAGCTTTCTCAGCCATTCTAATAACATAGTATTTAGTCTTGAGATTAAATTCCAATACCCCAAAATTAAATCTTTTTAACTTTTCGATGGTATGTTATTGAGTTGCAACCGTAAAGAAATAATAAATATTTCAGTGTCAATGTCGATCTTTTGCCATAATTTAATTGCTTTAGCTATAATGTTTAATATTATTTCCCTTTGATAAGTGTGTATTAGTAAATATGTCATTTTTTCAAACTAAAAGAATATAATGCACCATCTACCACAGGTACAGCCATATAAGTGCAGCCAAAATAAAATCATTCTTCATTGGAGAAGAATGTCTTTCAACACATCAATAATTGTGTGACAATACCTTGATGAGAGGGTGTTGATATCGGACTTTCAGTCTTTGATAAAGTTAGACAGCTGTTATTTTTCATATAATCCATAGCTGTGGAATACAAATAACACTGTAAAATCATTATGATTTTAATCCATACATCATCTTCATGACAAGATATCGTAAACGGATTACATTTGGCGGTGCATTCTATTAAGCGTTTTTTGCAGAGAGCAGAACCTCCTATATATAGTACATCGCTAATTGTCTTGTAATACTATACTAGCGTTTACATCTAGCTCATGCAGAAAGCGCTACGTCAAATATACGCCGCCAATTTGCTGAAAGATGAATTTCCGCCAAATATCGTACACGCCAAATATAACATATTTAAAGTACTTAATATTATGAACTTATACATACGATTACATGCATTTTCCATCAATTCCGATCCGATGGTTGAAATTTCTGACATATCATTTATAGATCTGTACTGCCGATGACAAGAGTCCTCAATGCTCGTGTTCTTTTGCTTTCCAACACTAACAAAATATATGAACGGCTCCTCTTTCTCATCTGGAAAATTCCGGTTATTAATTAAACCAGACACGTTTGAACTTTCTGATACAATCACCGCCATTCCTGCTTCCCCAACTTTGGGGTTGTATACTGATCCCAAAGATTTTAATTCCTCTTCAAGAAAAGTTTCATTGACACGTTCAGTTTTTATAGAGGAACAGTTTATGGCTTTATTGCTGCCAGTCAGAACTTCTGCAGTTACACTGGTTCCGTTGAGATTGAAATACACTAGTTCACAAAAGCATTTAAATCCGTTGTTCTTCATGATCATACCATCCTTGGCACCGTCTAGCACTATCAACAGTTTACCAGCAAGTGTTATTTCACATCCTTTGCATTAAAAGAAGAAAAAAATAAGCAAAATTATGATGATTAGAAAAAAAAGTGTGGTAAAGGGCTTATAAACATAATTTATAATGAAAATGTTCATCTTTAATCATCTACTAAAATTGCATAAATAGTTATCTACTGCAAATGCTTAATCAGAGTCACTTTGTGATTTTTGATACGTCTCTTTTATTATCTCTTTAAGACAATACTATATATTACTGCTAGAAAATATTTCTGTACAAAAGTTTGCCCCTAAAATACAGTAAGTAACAATTATGTTTCCACAAGACATAATTACATATACATGTACATTTTTGCTTTCCGGTGTATAGCTGTACTAAAAGATTGCCTTATCTTGCTCAGGTACATTTAACGAAGTTAAAAACAAGCTTTAAAATTTTATTTTGAATTACCAGTTGTGTTGAAATTGTTGACGCTGCAGTCCACTTCTGAAGAAACAGTGGTTGTAGTTTTGTCATTAGTTTCTTGAAAAAAAATTACTTTATTTAGAAATTTAACATGAAATTTGGGAAAAAAAATATTAGCATATTTTTTCCATTTTATTAGACAGTTTTACACTATATTTCTGTGGTAATGTAATAATATTATTGAATTAAAAATATTAAAATTATATAAGGATATTCATCATAATTGTTAAAAGGATATTAAGATTTGGGATTTTAATCACAGTAAAAGGTCCTATTCTGTTTGATTTTCATCTCCTTATCGATGTTAATTATCATGGTTGAATATATTTCTGTTTCCTATGTAAGTAATTTAATGGTTTGAGTTCACAAACCGTAAATGTTATAATCGTAATTCAATAATCAATTTAGATCATTACACTTTCATCTAAAATTGTTGATTCTTAAATTTTGATTTTCATCTCCTTATCGATCTTAAGAAAATACACATGGTTGACTATATTTCTTGAATAAATGTTAAAGGTTTAAGGTTACGTAACGATTCAATATCAATTTAGAATTAAAAGTAATAATTAAAATTTTTGATCTAATCATTGAAATTTACAAAAAAAATAAAAAAAAAAAAAAAAAACTTGTTTTCGTACCTTGTGATTCCTCCCCTTCATTGCTTCCAGATTTTTTTGCATCATTTCTTCCACACATCCTTCAACTACTATTTCATTCCCTTATGGTTTATCTTCTAAAGAATTTTATCTTGCTGTCGAATGCGGTCTTTCACACGAGACGTGCACATTTTTCGATTCATATAAACAATCCCTGAATGAAGTGATACGACGTCTGTTCATACATCCCTGTTGTATCTACAATTGGAAGTTTCCGGTGTGCAAAATCTACAAATTTGTCGTCATTTTTTTTTACTTCCTGCATGGGAGCAACCCGTCGAGAGGAGGGAAAAAATTGCGAAGTAGTTTTGTTTGTTTTAAATAACTTGAGTTAAAACAATATTAATGCTCTAAACACAACGAGAGAATTTTTTTAAAAGTGTATCTTCAGGGTTTTTGGTTCTAACTATCTATGCTCTTTGCTCTTGCAAATCATATTGAAAACATTTTTTATGTGCTAAATAATTTACTGTAGACATTCAAATGCAAAAACAGAACACTATACGGGAAATTCCTAAAAATATACTTTAATAGCCCTCTTTGAAAAGGATAAGAAGTCGTAATTGCCTTTTTTTTTAATGAATGCATCGCTAATGTATAATGAAGTACTAGTGTTTGTTGTAAAAGAAAATTGTGGAACAAATACGTCATCATACAATAAATTATTACATGTCCTTGTTTTGCCTGCTGTTGCATGCCTGTGGTTATCATTATTCATCAAGTGCACTGTGTTTGTCAAGTACTGCGTATTGTGAAGAAATAACCCAAGTATTATTCGATGACTTTTTAACAATGACAATGTGTTCCTGGAAATCAGCTTTGAAATTTGATATTTTAAAGTTTAACATGCACAGGGATATTAAAGCAGTCGTAGACTTAAGTCAAATTTTGTCAATTGTCTTGAACATTTAATTGTATTGTATTTCATCAGAAACCTTTGACATTTTGAATAACTGAGAAAATAAGTCGCTTTGTACATTAATGCGCAAATACCCCAAATCATTCGCGTTCAAACCTTTACTTGTATATACATGTATAATTCATATATAAAGAATAACCATAGTTATTGGATTGGTATGTTCCTTATTGAATTTAAGATTAAAATAAAATATAAATATTTTTAAAAAAATTATTAACTTGAAAAATTTGATTTGCCGTAGCAAGAAACTAAGATCACCTGCCTCGAAGGTCGTCTAAGTATCATTTTCTCATTTCTTGACTAATGAAGCCCCGAATGAGAATGGATTTTAGACTCGTGTGTCATGTTACAAAATAATAGTCAAAGAATGATTCTTTCATTTTCATGTTATATCTACTTTTCTGAAATGATTGCAAGTAAATAAGGTTTTTCCTACATTTCACGTTGATTAGTTTTATATACAATGTAAATATACATTTAACATGTACAACTTCACAGATGATATATCAACTTCCTGTTATGATTATAGGATAAAACCAGAGACTTCAGAATGAAAAGTTCTGAAGTACATGTACCTGATTTTATTCTATATTATAACCATAATCAGAAGTTGATGTATCCTCTCTGCTGACTTAAAATATTGTGACATAATTTTTCAATATTACATGAATAGTTTTATTATAAAGAGGACAAAGGACATCTTGGGGAAATTAAAAATGTCCCTTGAATCAAACATTATATCATGTTAAAGCAGGCTTTCTGATTGTTTGATTGTTTGTTTTGTGTTTTACTTCCCTTATGAGAATGCCTCTTATATAGAGACGTATGCCGATGAAGGGCTTCAACTTTAGACTTTTGCTCGGCACTCAGGGCCATTTAGCAGTAAAGGTTCTTTATCTCGCCAAAGACTTTCACTTCAAAGTGTTGAGCGCTTGGCGAAGGATGTGTTTCTTCCCATTTTTCATTTACTATAAGGCAAGAAGCAGTCGTGATTTGAATTTCGGCCATTCCAATCACGAAGCGAGGGTTCTTCCTAGACGGCTTAGGGTTATGAATGATAAATAAATAAGCTAAAAGGTTGACGTGACGGTGCGAAGAAATTGAGTAAGGTATACAGTGGGATAAAACCAGGGTCCTGTAAACAAAACAATCTTAGTGACACAGGAAACAATAACAGGTGAAGATAACGAACGGTAAAAAAACGTGATCAATCTAAACAAGTTACCAGAACCAATCTGTAAACGCAAACCTAGTTATTCCAGAAGTGGGATCAACTGCCTTGGAGGAGTAAGCATTCCTTGTTGACGGTCACACCCGTCATGAATATTAGGCATTTATAAGGTAGAGGGAACAACCGTTATCAAATTCAATTAAAAAACAAAGTCCTTACCATAAGTTTGAAAATTCTACCACCAAACTAAGAAATCTAACGAAGAATATATATACACACTCATTCAAACAAAGGGATAAGCAGTTAAAGAAGTATTATTGGCAAATTGGTTAGCTGGTTATGGAAATTTGTTTCCAAATATCTTATGTGTTTTCTTTTAGTGAATGCACTGGTATTGAATCATGCCTTTAAATTCTGCCTCTCTAAATCCTACAGTGAAAACGTTTTCTTGAAATGCTATGATGTTACAATATCATTGATTTGAGGTGAACCTTCTGACTCTCAAAAAGAAATTTTAGGGATTAAGTCTTCCAATAAATGATATACAAATGTACTTTACTGAAAAAATTTGCTATCATGGCAATTGTTCATATATGAATTTTATCAATGTCCATGACTGTGTAATTTATACATTTTGTTTTTTCAATTCTTTTTGAAAATTAAAATTACACCAAAAGCAATTTTATAACAGAAAACGAAGAAAATAAATGAAATACACGTAATTTAGAACAAGTGAAAAGCCGAGAAAAATCATTTCAGAAGAAAAAAAATATTCTTCAGTTTTACATATACTCTGTAATATAAAGCAAAATTAGAATGGTAGTTGTAAAAAAAAAACAACTTTACACCCTCAGACTCAATAGCAAATATAGCAGCAAATCTGAACTTTGTAAATATTGCTTCAACGGTAACAATATCTTTCCTCATCACATTTTCACATTTAAAAACATCCTACAGTGCGTAGTCTAGTTACATCATGTATGGCATCAAGGTCGCAAGAGTATGCTCACTCCTTCATGGAACCTGATCGCACTTCTGATCTTTTAGATGTCTGTGTTTGCTCTGATCCTAATTTAAATTGCTTGACTGGACTTATAAGCCTGGATATGATGTTCGTTATCCCAAGTTTTTCTGAGATATAATTGTAAATTTCTTTTCCATATTTTCTATTTTAAAATGTTCTGTAAGAAATGTAAAACTAGTGTTATGATTTTACTAACTCTTCTTTTACAAGTTATCTTACTGGACAAATCTTCCCTAGCTATAAATATTTAGGAAAATCTAATCTACAAATCGTCTTTTATGTTGTTTATGGAACAAAATGTTATCTTTGTAGGATGTTTATGTTTGAGAAACCAAAAGTTGACTCAGTAAAAGAATAAAAGGGACTTATTGGAGATCATTTTTCGAAGAAACACTATGATTAACCTGATCATTCTATCTGATCAGTAAAAGTTACCATTCCAAAAAAAGTTTTACATTATTCTACTAAAAGCTTCGCCTTTGAATGGAGAGCTAGCGTGTCGCTACGTAGGGAGAATTAACAAAAATGTGAAGTGTTAAGTACCAAATCCAAGATGGCCTCCTCAGCTACAGCTTCACAGCACACAAGATTTTAATGAAATAGTAAAGTTATTTTTTACATCCTTATGAAATAAATGTATGAATGTAAACATACCGGTATTATATCATATAGATATATTTTCGCTAGAAATAAACTTTTTTGTTTTCAATGTTCTACTGATATATTTATATCTAATACTTAGTAACTACATTTTTTTACTAGCACTTCGTTCAATAGAGACATATATCTATCACCTGGCTACTGGGTTAGCCGCAACGATCTAAATCGCAGCCAAGATGTAATTTTGCGGGGATAGTGTGATGTCACATATATAAGTGAAAACTTCCCACAAAAAACACTTAATCATTAATAAACAAGCTGTAACGAATGACCAAGATGTAATAAAAATTAGACTTTTTATTTAATTATCCATCTATATTAATGGTTAAATACAGAGTATTATACATGACATATACTAACTGAAATTACAAAAAATCTTAGTGCAATCGAAGAGTACTGAAATAATTTTACAAACATATATATTTAACTGAATATTATTCGTCTTCATCAGCCTATCATTTTCCAATTGCATACAATCCATCCAGTTAAGGCATTTTAGTTGAAGTATTCAGAAACAAAATATTAAATACTAGTCGATTTTTAATAACCAGGAAGGAAAGGTTTTAAGCTTTTTGACGATTCCTTCTATTAAAAAAAAGTTACATAGTTTGATGGGGATGCATTTTTTAATTAAACAAAATAGTTTTCTTCCATATTTTTGTCCAAACTTTACCGTTTTTTTCGTCCTACGAATTTCCTAGTTGGTTGCAATTGCTTTAATTGTATGACCTGAATCTTCCTTCGCCGTCATGCGTTCATAGATTGAGGGATCAATCTTATCCTCTCTAAATTTCATGTGCAGATAGTTACAGTTTTCCGCATTCTCCTTGTTTTTCTTAGTCTGCTCTTCACTACAGATGTTTTGCCAATCTCTTGATAAATTTGACTGAAACGTTCTGCCTTCCGCGTAAAGGAGTTCAGATATTCCCCCAACCTATTACAAAAAGAAGTTACTTTTTTTTCAACTGAATAATATACTGTATATTAAGGATCTCCCATGATTTGTGGGTGGGTATGATTTTTATCCAATGAGTTTTGTAGGATTTTTATATAAAAACACACAACGAGTTTGACAAAAATCATATCTATCACAAATCATAGGTAATTCTTTTTATCCCATGTTAATACATCACAATCAATGTGTTACACTGTTTCAGTAAAGGAATCCACTTTATTTTACTTCATCACTCTCACACAAAAACTCATTATGACGTAAGTGCTATGGAATGTAAAAAAAATTTTCAACGAGTGATATCCATTAGATAAATGGTTATATAGTTCTGTTTATGTGAATCACTGTTAATAGTAAATACCCTCCTCTCACTTATCTTTGGATTCTGAGTTAATTTTATCACAGAAAAGTTTAATTTTTCAAAGGAAAAAGATTGTAATCTTACTCTGTTGTCCACAGCTGTAAACTCTACCGATGTTTCTTCTTTCGATTTTCCGTTTCTCCTACATTTTGGAGTAAAAATTAGGCAAAGAACAATAACTACTGCCAGAATCAGAGCCCCAAGAACACCAACGACAACAATGGGCATTTGCACTGTAGCTACATGTAAAAAAAATGCAATTTCACTTTATCAAACTTAATATAACGTGAGTTGTAAACAAAAGAAAAATTAATGCCTAATGTAAAATAACAACATGTATGTATTTTTCTTTTGAAACTTGAATGATACTTCACATCCCGATGTTTCGTCGTTTTCAATAAAATTAATTTTACAGATATCGATGGCTTTTAAAATTTTATAATGTTAATTTTCATTTCTACGTTAATTCTTTATATTCCATAAATATCAAGATAAAAGATACCACAGTGTCTGACATTTCTGTTTTCATATTTGGATCATTTTACTAGAAAAAAAAACCGTTAATGGTAACCTTACAACAAAATATATGGTAAATGGGATAATTTTAACTTTTCTCTCGTCAAGTACCCTAATTTATTTAGCAAGATATCACTTTCACCTCACCTGCATATGGATTTCATATCTTCCAATTAAATCGATGAGCAAGACTGTGCTCAGCGTAAGAAAAGTTCTAAAACTAGTCAATTGACCGCGTGGCACGGTAGATCAAGCGTTTGTTTTAAGAGTCAAAGAGTAAGGAGTTGATCCTTCCGCCGCGGGTTCGAATGTGAAAACCGGTCCATCGAGAGAAACCGTATTAACCGAGGTCGTTTGTCGCAGTTGCTATAGGAGCTGACACTAAAAGACCCGTAACTGCTTAAAAAAACTTGACAAGTTGTTGACAAGCAAACTGATAAAACAATGATATTAACTGTGTTGTTTAAGTCAAATTTTCGCAAAATTCTATGGTCGATACAATATGACCAATCTATCACTCAGATTTAAGCTGATTGACTTAGTTTACTCTGAATTCTCTACGATGTTTATCCAATTTGCTCGATAATCAAAAGAGCGCTATGATGGAATGAACAGTCGACATTGGATGGGTGCTCCCCAATCGCACTTGATCCCACTTATGATGATACCATATAAGCAGATATATTATAGGGTTCTGAGATCGCCAAAATTGAATATCGCTAGCTTTTTTCGTATTCATTACATTATCTATCTCTCTTTACATTATAAAATCGCTAAAATTACTTCTCGCTAAAAACAGATATTTACTAACTTTTGGCATAAGTTGATAAATTAGAGTCTCGCTAAAATTTTCACTTAATATACGGTATCTGCGGTCCGTGTAAACATTTGCTTTCCTTCTAATTTCATTGTTTCATTGTTTCAATGTACCACCTAGTTAGTTTTATGCTAGCTATCTGAATATTTTTTCGAAGTGAGACTAGATGTTCTTTTTTAATTGCAACCTTATAAATTCGCAGTGTATATTTATCAATAACCATCTCAAAAAAATTATATTTATTTTTACAGATTGTGGTTGATCTTTGCTGTATTCACTTTGAATAGTCTACTGAATAATGTTTTTGTGGTATATATTACATTATTGCTGGTATTCTAACGTCGCTTGTTGAATCAGATGCAGAAATATTTATATGTCAAAACGTTCATGCTATATTGTACCTCCGGAAAGCATCTAAAACATCAATAAAACATCCCTAACTGTATGGCAATACATGCACCTTCAGATCCTAATGAAGGTATTGTAGTTGTATTTCTGGTCGAACTTAGACAATTGTTTTTTCATAAATCCATAAACTGTATAAAAAATAAACAAAAAAGAATGCATTTGATCAGTTCAATATCCCCCAAAAATTATATATCAAAACAGTTCCTTATAAGTCGGAAATTTGAAATTTAACCCTATTGAGATAATCATCTCTAGGTCAATAGTCGGAAATTTGAAATTAAATCTAATTGAGGAAAATTGTCTATCGGTCACAGTAAATTAAAAATATTTTGTAAACTTTCGACGAAAATTTTTACACAGAATGCCCCAGACTGTTCTATTTAGTCCAAGAAAGAAATGTAGCATAGAGCAAGTCAGAGCTTAATTTAAGTGTCAAACATAACTGCAGTCATTTGAGGACACAGTCAGGAACTGTATGAAATAACAAAACTTACAATTACATGCATTTTCCATCAATTCCGATCCGATGGTTGAAATTTTTGACATATCATTTATAGATCTGTACTGCCGATGACAAGAGTCATCAATTCTCGTGTTCTTTTGCTTTCGAACACTAACATCATTAATTGTATGACAATACCTTGTTGGGAGGGTGTTGATATCGTACTTTCGATCGCAGTTGTACTTGCACAATTATTTTCCATATAAGCCCTAGCTGTGAAATACAAATAAAACTGTAAAATAATTTTGATTATAATTCATTAATCATATTCATGACAAGATACATATACTGTAATAACATGAACTTATACATACGATTACATGCATTTTCCATCAATTCCGATCCGATGGTTGAAATTTCAGACATATCATTGATAAATCTGTACTGCCGATGACAAGAGTCCTCAATGCTCGTGTTCTTTTGCTTTCCAACACTAACAAAATATATGAACGGCTCTTCTTTCTCATCTGGGAAATTATTAAATAAATCAGACGGGTTGGAACTATCTGATACAATCAACGCCATTCCTTCTTCCCCAACTTTGGGGTTGTATATTGAATTCAAGAAGTTTAATCTCTCTTGAAGAAGAGTTTTATTGACACGTTCCTTGTCTATAGAGGAACAGTTTGTGGCTTCATTGCTACCAGTCAGAACTTCTGCTGTTACATTGGTTGCGTTGAGATTGGAATACACTAGTTCACAAAAGCATTTCAATCCGTTATTCTTCATGATCATACCATCCTTATTACCGTCCAGTACTATCAACAGTTTACCAGCAAGTGTTATGTTGCATACTGTGCATTAAAAAAGAAAAGTTTTAGTTTAATATGATGATTTGAAAAAAAAATGTGATAAAGGGCTGATAAACATTAACTTATAATCAAAATTTTCAACATTTTAAATAATCATGCATCAGAGTTGCATACTCAACGAATGCAAAAATTTATATAAAACTAATTAAAAACAACATTAATTTCTATCTCTGTGCGTAATGCAATATAAAAAGAGAATGCCTCCCTAAATCAAGAGATAAACAATAAACTCCTTTGCATTGAATCAAAAAATATTTTATAAGAAGCTATACTGAACAAGTTCTATATATTCGTTTTGAATTACCAGCTGCGTTGAAATTGTTGCCGCAGTCCACTTCTGAAGAAGCAGTTGTTGTAGTTTTGTCATTAGTATCTTTAAAAGAAAAATACTTTATTTTTGATTTAATCATTAGTAAATACATAATTAGAATAACTGATGAAATTTTTGGTCGTAACAATCATCATTTAAAATAAAATGATATTTTATGATTTTTTTTTTCAAAAACAGCTTGCTTTCGTACCATTTTCGTCGTTCCCTTCATTGCGCATACCTCCATCGTTTATATTATTTCTTCCGCACATATCCTTTCACCACTATTTCATTCCCTTATGGTTTCTTTTGGAAAGTGTTTAATATTGCTTTCGAATGCAGTACTATCAGACGAGACTTGTACTTTTTTTTTATTCATGAAAGCAATCCGTGGATGAAGCCATACGGCGTCGGTTTATGCATCCTTGTGTTTACATTTTGCAGTCTCTGGTGTGTAATATATACAAATTTGTCACTTACATTTTCTTTACTTCCTGGGAGCGCCCCGTCGAGAGGAAAAAATTTTTTTCGCAGTTTATTCATTGGAGATGCATCTCTAGAAATTTATCATGGTTTTGAACAATTCAAGTTTCAAAACAATGCTTTAAACACACAGAGAGAATTTTTATAAAAGTTTATCTTCAACAGCTGTTCAAGTTTTTTGGCTCAATGTTCATTTTGCAAATAATATTGAAAACACTTTGGTTTTATTTCACAGATAATTTATTGTTGTCACATACATTCAAATGCAAATACAAAACAACATACGTCGGGATTTTTCTAAAAGTATACTCTCATAGCCCTTTGTGGAGAATATAAAGAAGTCTTAATTGCCTTTTTAAAAGGAATGCATTGCAACAGGTATAATTAAGTACTCCTGCTTGTTGTAAAAGAAAATTGTGGAACAAATGCGTAATCATACAATTAATAATTAGGTATCTCTGTTTTGTCTCGGGTTTCCATCATGTTGATTTCCAAAGGGTGCATTGTGTTTGTCAAGTTCTGTGTATTTTGAAATAAAGTTATCATCAATAACCTATGCATTATTCGATGACATTCTTAACAATGCCAATTTGTTCCTAGAAATCAGTTTTGAATTTTTATAAGTTAAAGTTTAACATGCACAGGATACAAAAGCAGTTTTAGACTTAAGTCAGATTGTCAATTTTCTTCATTTTTTTTTATAGCGAAGATACATGAACCAAAAATGTTTAACTGCTTCTTGTCATCGATTTTACTTTTTAAGCATAAGATTTCCTTATCTAATTTACATTAAGTGTAAAATATAATTTTATTAAAAAATTTTTTTTATAAAAAATCGTTCACCTGACAAAAAGTTATTTCCTGTAGATCATCTGCCTCGAAGGTCAGTGAGTCTCATTTTCTCACTTTTTCATTAATAAAGCCCCAAATGAGAATAAATTTTAGACTCGTATGCCTTGTTAGAAAATAAGTCAAAGAAGGCTCCATATTCATGTTATATGCACTTTCCTGAAATGATTGAGAGTAAATATATAAAATTATTTTCCCTATATTTCAAGTTAAATATTTTGATATACAATGCATGTGTAACCGGAAAGGAGAAAATGCAGCGGACCAGACTAGGATTCGAACCCCTGTCTGCTCGCTGCAATTTTCTCCTTTTGCTTTGCCTTGGAACTGACAGGTGAAAGTCCTGCCAGGTATGAGCCTGTGTTGGGGTCTTTGGAGGGCTAAAAACCTTTAAAGAGGTATGAATGCGGGGTCAGCCGTGTTCGATCGCTGATGGCCCGATAGCCAGGGGGTACAGCGCCTGCCCGGAGGTTGAGGAGGGCTAAAGTTCGCATTCTGGTCTAGTCCGCTGCATTTTTCCTCTCTCGTTACACATGTATACATTTTACGACTTCAAAGAGGATACATCAACTTCCTGTTATGATCACAAGAATACCCAGAGACTTTAGAAGGAAAAATTCTGATGTTCATGTGTCTGATTTTATCTTCCATTATAATGATTACCAAAAGTTGATGTATCCTCTCTCGAGTCGTGATATATCTTGAAGTACATATAACTTTCGAATATCACACGAATGGTTTTTTTCAAAAAGAGGACAAATCTCGGGCGATTTTTTTAAAAAAGAAAATGGCCAAAGAAGCAAACATTACATCATGTCAAAGCAGGGTTAATGAATGTTTGATGTATTTTGTTTTACGTCCAGTTTGAGAATTTTTCACAGTAGAGAGACCCCACCCTTTACCAATGAAGGGTATCAGATTTAGACTTTTGCTCAGCATTTAGGGCCATTGTGCAGTAAATTAGGTTCTTTATCTCACAAAGACAACTTTGATTTATAGGTCTCATTTAAAGGACCTGCAACTTTTACTTCAAAGTGCCGAGCGCTTGGCAAATGATCAGTTGATACCTAGCTACATGTAATTTTTATCTACTTAGACTAGACGCGGTCGTGAATACACAACATTCCAATCACAGAGCGAGGGCTTTAACGACTAAGCTTCTGTGGCAGATTAGGGTTATGAATGATTGATTGATTGCATGTTGTTTAACGTCCCTCTCGAGAATTTTTCACTTATATGGAGACGCCACCACTTGTCGGTGGAAAGCTACAAATTTTGACCTATAATCGGCACTTAAGGCCATTGAGGATTGAGGGATCTTTTTTGTGCCAGCACCTACTGCGACACGGGACCTCGGTTTATACAGTCTCCTCCGAAGGACCGATCTCCACGTCCCACAGGATCAACTCCTTACTTCGCGACTCTAGAGCACACGCTCTAACCACTGCGCCACGCAAAATTGAAAAATAATTAATAGGTTGACATGACGGTGGAAAAAATAGAGTCAGGTAACTTGTGTGTGTGTGGGGGGGGGGGGGGGGAGCAGGGTGACCTTAGTGACTCAGGAAACATGAAAACAGTGGTAAAAAGTGATCAGCTTTATCAAGTTACCAATACAAATCCGTAATCTATGGGATCAATTGCCTTGGAAAAGTAAGCATTCTTTGTTGACGGTCACACCTACTGTGAACCTTATACATGTATAAGTTAGACGGAACATCCGTAATTACAAAACAAAGTTCTCATAATAAGTTAGAAAAACGTAAGCCAAAATACGATCCAATGAAAGGTTATACTTGCTAACAAGGTTATTATAACGACGATTAAATTAACCGCGAAATTAACAAAATGCCGACTTTAAATGAGGTTGTTGAAGTTCCTGTAACATCAACTTATTTGTCCTGTCTCGGATCAAAATTTAATCGTACTCAGAGCATGTTCTTTAGTATCGAATAAATTTGGAAATGTAAACACCATATTGGATATTATACATTCATTGCATGATAGTGAGGGAAATATGAATACTTATTAAGACAGCCAAGAAAAATCATATTCCCCGAGGGCTTCGCCCTGAATAAGTATTATGTTTTCCGAACATTAATGCAATGAATTGTTTATTATACCGAAACAAGCAAAAACTTTGAAATAAAAATAAATTTTCAAATTTGGCACCGCTCTCAAATTCACTTTCATTTTTAACGTAAAAGTTCCTGAAACCTTTTGACACATTTCTCATCAACAATTTTTGACGTAAACCAGGCTATTATGACGTCGACTACTCTTCGGAGTTTTCTTTCAACGAATGTTGGCCTCGTGGGGATCCGGGTTAGAATAGGTCCTCAGTACCCCCTTGCTTGTCGTACAAGGCGACAAAATGGGGCGGTCCTTCGGATGAGACCGTGTATTTACATTTGCAAATGTCTTCCTTTATATAACACTACTGAAGGCAAGCGTTTTTTTAAGTATTGAATTCATATTTTTGGATGTCTTCGGTCGTATAACACACCTGGCCGTGCCGACAAATTGAATACCGCGCGTTAGCGCGGTATGATAATTCGTCGGCATGGCCAGGTGTGTTATACGACCGAAGACATCCAAAAATATGAATTCAATGCTGATATTTACATTCTCTAATTTTCCTTCTTCATGATTGCTTATTTCGTAAATCTTTAATGGGAATTTAGCGCCCTTCAAAACTGCCGTGGTTAATAGATGTAAGAGCCGTTTGTGACGTCAAATGACGTCCAATGACGTTGCAAAGTTAAATTACGCAAACAAACATTGCGACGAAAAAAATGACAAATTAATTCTGAACGAACATGATTACGTTAATTTTTACCAAATTTTTCAGGGTTACATTTTTTCATTAAATTTAAATAAAACATTTTACATTTTGGTGTTCCTAGAGTATTGAAAATGTTTATAGTTCATACTGTGTATTCTAACGCACGGCATCTTCCCAAGTCAAGAGTTTCTGATCCGCTCCGCTCCACATAAACCCTTGACTGAATAGACAAAGTTTGATGGGGTTTATCGTCACGCCATCTAGTGAGATGACATATATTGAACTCTACTGACCTCTGCTATTGGCCAATCAGAGTAAACGAATTCAACAGTGAATTCGAGATAATATTGGAAGTTGGTAATAAATTCAATATAATTCAAATAAAAAGCTGAGACAAACCTTTAACTAGGTTATTTAATGATAAAGACGTTATCCTTGGGACTAAAACTGGTTTGTTTTTCTATTGACAATTTAGTTTAGTTTAAATAAAACAACAATGATTTTGATTGGTTCATGCAGACTTGCATGAGGCAATTCAGAGAACGCATTTCTAACCCCGTCAAACTTAGCCTATTCGGTCAAGGGTTTATGAGGAGCGGAGCGGATCAGAAACTCTTGACTTGGGAAGATGACGCACGGTGACAAGGTTTCGCATATGTTATAGAAATTTGAACGTCGTGATTTTCTAATGGATTTCATAAGGAAAATTATACCGAATGTAATTATAACTGTATATTTACATTTGCAAATGTTTTCCTTTATATAACACTACTAAAGGCAAGCGTTTTTATAACTGTGTAAATACAGGTATGGGGTCAAGAGGTTATAGATGTGCGTTTGGATAAACGTTCGACGTATTTAATCTGTGACGTCATAAAGGGTCGACGCGCGTTTAGTGGATTACATACATGCCGTTGGGTTGAAAAATGAACGCATTTCACACGTTAAAAGTAACAATTAGGCAAATATAAAGTATGAATAAGTCACAAATGTAAATATGAGTAATAAGGTATCATTTTTTGAGTTTTATTGAGATGTAAAACGGGTTGGCACATGATCAAATCTTCCATAAAGCCCTTCGGGCTTTATGGGATTTGATCACGTGACCAACCCCTTTTACATCTCAATAAAACTCAAAAAATGATACCTTATTTCTTAAATAAATACAGGTATGGGGTCAAGAGGTCATAGATGTGCATTTTGATAAACGTTCGACGTAATTTCTCTGTGACGTCATAAAGGGTCGACGCGCTTTTAGTGGATTACATACATGCCGTTGGGTTTGAAAAATTAACGCATTTCACACGTTAAAAGTAACAATCAGGCAAATATAAAGTAAGTCACAAATTTAAATATAAGTAATAAGGTATCATTTTTTGAGTTTTATTGAGATGTAAAACGGGTTGGCACATGATCAAATCTTCCATAAAGCCCTTCGGGCTTTATGGGATTTGATCACGTGACCGACCCGTTTTACATCTCAATAAAACTCAAAAAATGATACCTTATTTCTTAAATAAACCGAGGCCCCGTGTCACAGCAGGTGTGGCACGATAAAGATCCCTCCCTGCTCAAAGGCCGTATGTGCCGAGCATAGTCCTAAATTTGCAGCCCTTCATCGGCAATGGTGACGTCTCCATATCAGTGAAATATTCTGGAGAGGGACGTTAAACAGTATGCAATCATTCAATCAAGGAACGTTGCAGAAAGATAATACTAGGTATCCGAAGAGGGTGGCATGATGAAAAGCATGCCTACGACCGGGAAATATGAAGTTTTACGGCCCAATCACGTGATAACCTACATATGTAGAACCCATCAGATAACGCGTTGTGTAGAATAATTATAATGAGGTATAATACTATATATTTACATTCGCTGTGTTTTTCTACTAAGCCAACTGTGAAATTGAATTGAAAGTCATTTTTGTGTATACTCACGCGTAGAAATCTACACGGAGAAACGTGCGTTAACGAGACATCACAATGAGGCTGTTACCAGTCGTTAGTAAACATGAAGCGATATAGGGCACCGAGAAATTCAAATATTGAGTATATTTTAGTTGCTTACGAACATGTAAAATGTAAATATAAGGATAGCGCGCTTCATGAAATATGCCTACGTGACAAGTCTTAGTGATTAACACACCAATAACTCACACAAAACTTAAAAACATTCCTTAAAGGTACTTGGACACAGATTTGAAGTTAATATTTTCTCATTTTTTCTGTATAATATCACGAATTATATATTTTAATAGCATTTCACACAAAAATTAATTAAAAATCTTATTTCATTTAAAAGTTATTAAAACTTTAAATTTTTTGGCGGGTTTGATTGACACATCCTTGCACTTTCACAAATTTTAACTTTATTCTTAATCCTTAGGAAAAGTGACAATTTTGATATGTTTTAATGAGAAATATTAAAACTTTTATGAAGAAAAATAATTTTATTCAGAGTAGAAATGTTAGAAAGCAAATCACCTTCACAAGTATGATAATAATAGTCATTCCGAACTAAGAGATGCGTACAGAGTTTAGCAAATCGAGCACACTCGTGTTATGTACACAGTTTTTTTGTAAACAGGGCTCTAGTTCTGTTATTGTTTATATTTAGAATTCTCCGGGTGCGTTCAATCGTCACAGTCTGCTTACCACAACTGCACGGACTGACAATATATTGTGTGTTTGTTTTGCTTTCGAACATGTCTACTCTGAATTTTCTGGATTATAGTATTAATATTTTTCATTTATACAAAACGAGATTGCCACTTTTTCTAAGGATTAAGAATAAAATTAAATTTGTGAGAGTGCAAGGATACGTCAATCAAACCCGCCGAAAAATTTGAAATTTCAATATCTTTTAAACGAAATAAGATTTTTAATTAATTTTTGTGTGAAATGCTATTAAAATATATAATTCGTAATATTCATGATACTATGAAGAAAATAATAACTTCAAATATGTGTCCAAGTACCTTTAAGTAAATGTAACTATTGTTCATTGACAATACATTGTCAATATAAATGGTCGGGTTAAGACCACTAAAAGTATTTCCTTCTCGTTTAGAGGTTTCTGAAAATAAGTTCTTCGTGGGAAATTTTAATAAAAAAAAAACAGGTTATCTAAAACAAGAATCACTTGTCGGAGTTCCGCAGTTTATTGGAAGACATCATGGTCCCGAAAACTACATATATTGTCTATGAAAACTCCCTATGAGGAAATTCCTGGCTTGTTTGATTGAAGTAGCAATTGTCTAATATGATATCAAAAAGTCTACTGTTTAATCTGATGTGAAGAATGCAATATATCTGTAAAAAGTGTAGAAATGTCGTATGATTTGGTACTAAGGACTTCTGAAAATTAAGTGATATTAAATTGATTATAAATTCTTTCGAATTTTTGAGAATCCATATTTGTTTAACAACTCTTTTATAGAATATCCTGTAACACAGTAAACTTTTTTTTCTTAATAACAGTTAATATTTTTGAAAGAAGAATATAATTTTATTTTCTTACAACTGTTTTCTAAGTTTATGAAGATTAGAACTCATACAAAGGTAGGGTATACGTAGATCAAACTCACCAATAATAATTTGAGTAAATCATGGTCAATTGTGAAGCATCGACAATTTAAAGCAAATATGGAAAATGTCAAAGCAATGGATGTATCAACTATCTATACACAGTCGCTGTAAGCAGTAAAATATTTTTAAAAATTCCTAGTAAAAGATACCGTTTATTCTAGTCAAATAAGTAAGCTAGATTGTTTCAAGGTCTAAAGAATTATGTCGTCCCGAACGAAGTCCGGTACAACATACCGGTATTGCGATTGAACGCATGTTTTTGTTAACAAGTCCAGGCTGTTTCTCGGAGATGGCTAGGACAATGTTCCTGAAACTTTCCTCAAAAGACGATCACTGGTTGTAGTTGTGTTGTGTGGTCATTCAATTTCAAAATGGCAACCGTTGCCATGGAAACATGCAAAAGGTGACGAATTTTCTCTCTGGCCCCTTGAACATTCGCCATGAAACTTTTTTTCTTTTAGTGATAAGTAATTGTAGTTATGGGATTCGCATTTAAAATTTTCAAATCGATTATTGCCATGAAAACCAGGGGAAAGTAAAAAATCTTTAACTCTGATTTTAAAATCTAAGTACTGAAGGGACTGATACGAGTTGATGGTTGTCCAAGCTTAGCTAATGGGTATTGTTTTACTGATACAAAAAATAAAAGTCTTGTCCATTTCGGGTCGACATGCCTATTGCTGGCAATAGCAGGCTTTCTAGTTTTGATTCCTTTTGTCTATTTAGAAATCTCTATTTGTGTTGTCAGAATAAATTCTTTTGTATACAATATGATTGTCCATAAATTTATAATAAAGCTTTATGGAATAAAATATTTTATTGAATATATGACGTCATTTCCGATATTGATACATTACTTCCTGTGACAATTGCTACTACTCTCTTTCCTGCAACATCAGGTATTCTATTATTTAAAATGGCCGCCATCGCCGCGCATCCTGATGGTTCGGCTACTATTCCTATATCAAACAGTCTCGACATACAGCTCACTATTTCTCTATCCGACACAAGAATAACATCCTCTACATACTTCCGGCAACAACGATAAGTTAGTTTCCCTGAAATATGAACATACTGTTGGATTGACACTTTTCAATTGCCAAAAAACTGCAGCGATTTTTATATTGTATCAAATTTGTTTTTTAAATAATATATTATTGAGTTTAAATACAAAATCGCAAACATAAAAAACGATGGATTTGGATTGAAAGCATTTAAAAATAACCTGCATAAGGGGGAGATAATCCGGAAGCTACAGAGTTAACAGCCATTGTGACAGGTTCTCCTTTTCGGAAGCTCTCAAACATCGTCCTAGCTGAATAATAGATAACGAACGAAGAATCTATTTCCCAAAATTCATAACAGGTCAGCTTACAATTTATCAACGAACTAATTCAAGAAAAAAAAGAACGGTTCGTATGTAACAGAAAACGATAGTCTTACACCCCTCGGGTTCTACGGCGTATATCCTGCAATCTGCAAGTCCAGACAGTTTTATTCCTGCTGCAATCCCCGAAACCAGTCCCCCACCGCCACAGCATACTACGATTACGTCAGGTCTGACGTCATCTTCCAGAATCTCCAAGGCAATACTGACCAAAGATACAGAAAATAATAATAAAATTTAATGCAAAATCTAATTCTTGAAAATAATTTTTCTTTCGTAGAAATTACGTTTTAAAAATGTGATTCAATATACAAATAAAACATATTATAATTTCCATTTGTATAGTTAAAAAAATGCTCAATTGATCCAAATTAAAATAAATTCATGAATAGTTAATTTTAATGTTAAGATTTAAAAAAAACTATTTCACATTTACATTTAAATATGCTTCACATACGAGAACTTTTAAATTTGTAAGTTAATAAATTTTTGAAGCAAAAGCAATATTCCAATTTGATTTTTTTAAATGTATATTTGTAGATTCATGGCAAAGTGATCGACGCGTCTGAAAGAAGCGCGGGAACGTGATTTATTGAGAAAGGGGAGGGGGTAATTTTCCGCTATTAAATCAAAACTGGTCGTACGAAAATTATACAAAAAATTATGAAGATTATTTTTATACCAGCTACCTAAAGAAAGTTTTTTACCAAAATTAAACGACACGTTTTTTCACAAAAAATAATTTGAATTTGAAAAATACACAATTTTCAAGGTTTAGATAATTTATAGTTTTTCAGTCTAAGGTCTTTAAAAATTGTTTTGATGATATGTATATCAAAAAGATGACTATGTTTTTGTGTTAAATGGTTAAAGGAATAAGTCAATGAAATTTGACATTTCTAACCTGGCTTTTTTTTTAAATCAAGGTTTAAGTATATAGAGTTCATTGATTAAAAATTTTCTCTCCTTGTAAACAATTAAAGGGGGTAACTTTTGGAAGTTCCTGTCCAAAAACCTCTTGAACGATTTTGTCCAAAATGTGCATATATGCAGTAGATATAGTCATGTACTAAATATACAAAAATAAAGAAAATTAAACGACAGGATTTTTTTGGGGTAGATGTGTTGTTCATCCTTAAGTAAAGTACATGTAATTGAGATTTCCTTTATGCAAGATTCTTAAAATACAAAAAAACATTGTTGGTTGAAATTTCTTAAAATTAAAAGCAGTTTTGCAAAATAAGAGGAAAACTATTACCCAAGAAAAATTATAACTGAGCACTTTAGAACAAATCAGTGCTGGGGATGTATTTTTAATTACGGAAATTCTTAAAATTAACAAGCTATTTTCATATGTTCGTTAACTTTCATACCGCCAGACAAGGTCCAGCATATTATAACTTGTAACTTAATTAGAGAACACAAAAATTTCATCCATGCGCTTATAATTAACTTCCAATGTGTATCATACTTAAGGTATTTCCATCCTCCTTTGATGTCATAGGTTTTTGCAAAAACTGTAATTACATTAAATTCTTACTAAACAGAACAACATCATTCGGTAAAATGGTTTTCTATATGTGAAATAATAAATCTTGTAAAGAAAAAGAATTTTAAAAATGCATATTTTCTTTATTTAATGAATTAATCAATCTTTAAAAAAGTGTTGTCAAGGACAATAACTCTTGCTTTGGTATCTTCGTTCAGGCATTTGAAGCTGGGCATTTCTATTGTAAAATAGTTTCCCTGATATTGACAATTCAAAATTATCTTATAAGTTACAAGTATTTTGGACCTTTCAGCATCAGAATTATGTATTTTAAACAGTTTTTACAAAGTTTTTAAAATGTATTATTTTTTATGTTGAAATATGCTTCTGTTTATTTATGTCTCCCATCTTAAATAATATTCATTTTTGGCAATAATTGGTAAGTTTAAACTGTATTAATTAAAAATACAGTTTTTGTACTTTGAACCATTAAAATTGTGTGGGTGGAAAGACCTTAAATTCATCTCAGTTCCAAACGAGTACAATGTACATTCAGATATAAACATTTGCCTAATCATAGAATTATTTCATTATTCAACAGCTTTACTTTCCCATAAAATATTTATTTCAGATAAAATTGCTACAACTTATGCAAAAATAATTTTCCTTAAAGTCAGCTGTGAAATCTGTATTTTTTGGCGATTTTTTTACCTGCCACAACCGGCTATGAACGACTGGTCGTCGTAAGGGTGAATGACAGAGAAATTCTGTGCCACGTACTGAGTAAATGTTTTCTTCATTTCACTGCTAGGTAGCACTACCACCTCACAACCCAAACTCTACATTTTAAGGAAAATTTAAAGCAACTACTTATCAAACATAATTTGCCATTCTAAAATTGACGAACTACAATCATAGCTAAGAGATGTCTCTTTGTCTTGAATAAACTGTCCCGTTTTTGTATCTGCAAACTTAAGTCTTCTTTTTTCCCAGAAAAAAAAATGAACGAATTATTAGTAGGGAAAAGCAAATTGTGCGCCATATGCATGCTATCATAACATCAGTAAATAGAAGATTGTAAATATAGAATTTGCCATTAGAATGATCAATCAAATGGAAAATTGGTGAAAAACAATATTTAACATTTGCATCTACATTTCCTGTCTCTAACCATGGTAACAGTATATTTTCCTTATTCTTAAAGTATCAAAATTAAAAGTGTTATAGTCATCCTTTCTGTTGACAAATTCTAAATCTACGAGGGCTGTTCAATAAATATTGTCATGATCTCGATGAAATACAACATAGAAATCATATGACATTATAAAGCTTGAATTTCTCTCATGTTTAAATCTTTAATGAATTGATACATGTATCAGTGTATGTGACCACTTTTCATCACATAGTTTTACTGTGTGAAGCAAGAAAACAAGGGCTATTCGAGACACGTACTGCAATAAATGAATGTTAAAGAACTAGTAAACTAGACATCGTCGGAACCCACGGGTTTTCTCTCCGTTACACTGCATTTAACCCACGGGTTTTCTCTCCGTTACACTGCATTTAAATGCAGTGTAACGGAGAGAAAACCCGTGGGTTCCGACGATGGTAAACTAGAGTGAAATTAAACGTTTCATTAAAGCTGCTGTAAAACTTGATAAGACTCCCAAAGAAATATTAACTGAAATATATGAAATTTACAGAAATGTCTGTTTTATACACATGGGCAAGTGGATTTCAATGAACAAAAATGAAAAAATGGGCATCAAAAATGGGTACCGTTCTAAGCGACAAGGAATTACAACAACCAATGTACTGTTTGCGAAAATTCATGAAATTATCACTAATTATGTTTGATTGACTTTCAGACACACATCAAATTCGATAAGCATCATTTTAGAGGTAGTTTTTAAAGTTTTAAAGAAACATCTGACAGTAAAAAAGCACAACACTCAAAGGTCACAGTATGTTTTGAAAAATGAGTGAAGCGTTAAACCCCAGTCACATTTCCAAAAACGACCAACGGCCGACGGGTTTTGAAGCAAAAATGGGATTCTTCGGGTGACAGTCGGCAGTTCATCGGCCGTTGTCTTGGCCGATTTTGACCTCTTTTTTGTCGGCCGACCATTTTTGTGTCCATCGGCCCAAGTTATAATTTTTTCTGTGTTCGGTGGCCGATTTCACCAATTGAAGTTATCCGTCGACCAACCTTCGATCATCGTCCGACCATCGGCGGTCATTTTATTAAGTCGGTCGTCTTTCATTTGACAACAAGGGTCTCCAAAATTTCGGCCGACGGTTAAAATCAAACTGTAGCTCAGAGCTCGATGATCGGGCGACGATTGGCCGACTTGTGAATATTTAACCTATAAAGGATTCACAACACGAGCAAGATGTCGATGCATGGATTAATACATATTTTTTGAATGGAAATAACATTAAGAAATCCTAATTATTCTTTGCTGCTTATATATGCGCCATTTCTCGTTTTTTATGTAATTCTATACAAAATTTTGCACACATTTTCAACATTGTTCTACTATCTTACAAAATTCTCGATTACATTACTCACATCACCTATTTGAATATAGATCTATGAAAAATATTGCTGATTTCTAAAGAAAAAAAAGATTTGTTGTGTAATTTATCCAAGTCATCGGTGTTCCTAGGAATTAATGTGACAGCTCCGTGTCGCCCGATACTCGTGTCGACCGATCATGTTTTAAGCCGACAAGACCAGAAAAAAATTTGTCGCCGGACCATCGGCTTAAATGTGACATAGGCATTAGGGTGTAAGAATATCTTAACAATTATTTTTAAAAATCAAAATTGTACATATTCACGTTTGTCTGAAATTCGAGCACATAATGAAATTTGAATCCCTTGGTTTGAACCCTAAAAAAAAAATTTAGAATAAGATGCACTTGACAAAACAGGAAAGGCATGAGAAGTGCATAGAATTGCAAAATGAGAGGTCTTGTTGTTTAAATTCTTATTCGGGGGTAGTTCAATTTCTGGTGGAGTCTTAAAGGCAATTTTTTTTAAGGCAAAACATCTAAAGGTTGAGATGAAGGAACCAGAAGCAGGAATCCACTACATTAAATGAAAGCGTCCAAACCCACAGGCCATTAAGAGTAAAGGACTTTTCAGGATAAACAGAGAGTTAATATTTTGTCACACCAACAATATTCGCCAGATCTTTCAATCTTTAAGCGTTTTTTAAAATTTCTTTCCGAGAACCGAGGACATTATTTTTTGAACAGCCCTCATACTATATGCAGACTCGAACAAGAATGATGAAGGTCAAGTGTCAGCTACCTTCCATAGCCCGCTATCAACCTTGCATCGTCAAAGGAATGGTAATAAATATAATTTTCTCTCTCTACATGTCGGTTAACTTCGCTTGTTAATTCAGAGGAGGGGCACTGCTCCACAGAAACCCCAAAGCTCTGTAAAAAAGGAAATTACAAACTAATTTTGTAAAAAGAACACGTGAAATAGTTGTAGAAACCAAGTAAATACATCAAAACATGCTAAACAATACAATAAATATGCTCATAATGATACACTGTACCCTGCTTTTAAAACATTGAATTGGAATCTTGCATTGTTAAAATTACAATTATAGAATAACAATTTTTTGTTTTCTTTATTTAGTAACTAGTACATAAATTGTGGTCCCATGGCTGCACCATATGCTCAAACACAATTCTGTGAAGCTGTTTCATTTAGCGATCTACGTATTTTATAAAAGAATACCAAACTATATGTACGTATTTCATGCTAAAATAATGCTAGTTTGTTAATGATACGTATTTCTTGTCTTTAAACAATTACCTTTATTAGTGCTATCCTGTTTGATGGTGCTGTTAGTGGCATAAGACAAAGGCCAGAAAGATTTAGCTGGTTCAAGGTATAGGCAAATGCTTTCCCATAATTCCCGGCTGACATTGTGATTAACTTCCTTTTACCGCTTTTCACTTCCTGTGGAAGATTCGCCATTTGATTGACTACTCCGCGTATTTTGAATGAACCTGGTGTAATAAAAAAAAATAAAGATAATAAAATATGTGTATACAACGAACAGTATTTAAGCTCAAAAGTCCATAAAACAATACAAAATAAAAGTAGAGCAAACACGGATCTTCGAAACATCAGAGGTGGGATCAGGTACCTCGAATGATTGAGCATCTCCTAATGACAGGTCGCACCTCTGCGTGTAGTCCTTGTCATGATCGGGAAATAACGGAACAATTCAGTACGTAAAAAATGGACTAACAATTGTAGTATGAAAAAACGTCTTTCAGCATTTGACTCAATTAATGATAAATTGTGTTTGCTGACAAGGTCATTGTATCGGCCATAGGAATTACGGAATGATGACTTTAAACTAGACTGCTAATATTCTTGTTTCATCAACTTGTTCGTCAATTATTAAACTCATCTTAGAAATTGTATCTTGTGCATCGAATCAACTGAGAGATATAAACTCCGTATGCAGGGGAAGAACGTACATGTAGCTGCATAAGTATGGGAAGTTGACGACTTAACACTTAAGTCATCACGTTCACCAAAGAACTTGGTTGTCGGATAACCATTGACGTATTTTCAAATACAATAATCAAATATGAAACAGATGTGTCAGACTAGACTCTGTAGTATCTCAAGCTCATCGGGATATATTTTATCAACATCAAAATGGAAATAAACACAAATTATGAAATTCGGTTTGATATATCTTCCAGTGACCAGAACAAGTGTTTTCCTTTTCAAGTATGACACACCCTTTTGGTCAAATCCTGCTTTAAATGAATACCAAAATCCATAAGAAAGATATGGACCGGACATGAATTATGATATTTTTCTTCCAATAAATTGTTGGAAGACCTGGTCTCCAAAGGCCGCATGACCTTGACTATCAAAAATGACCTTGGGTACTGCTTTATTTACACACCCATGTAGTTGATGTTTTCCCCAAAGAACTCATGGGCAAAATCTTTGTGTGAAATTTTGAGAATTACCAAGTTTATATTTATGATAAAGATGTGTATCAATAAATGAATATATAATTAATTTATGTACATGTGTATATTAACCGTAAATTAATAGCATGAGCTGTCTATTTTGGAATATTTTACAATATACATGACACACTCTTGGGTCATGGGCAATCTTTGTGTGAAATGAAAGCCTACCAAGTTTATCCATAAGAAAGATATGGACCGGACAAATTATGAAATTTTTCTTCCAATGACCTTACCTTTCCCCAAATGACCTTGGGTCAAGGTCATGACACACCCTAAGGTCATGAGCATGCTCTAAGTGTAGAGTAGTAGATTCTAATGTCCCTCTGTAAGAAAGATATGGACCGTTGCACAGACAGACGGACAGCTAGACAGACGGACGGACGGACAGACAGACAGACGGACAAGGTGATTCCTATATACCCCCCCAAACTTCGTTTGCGGGGGGGTATAATAATCAAATATGAAACAGATGTGTCAGACTCAACTCTGTAGTATCTTATATCTCAAGCTCATCGGGATATATTATATACATGAAAATGGAAATAACCAATATTTGTTGACAATACGTTGTTGATATACTAGTACTAGTATCTAAATGTCGAGCTGAACGCCAGAACAAGTGTTTTCTTCTTTTCACGTATACGATTTTGGTCAAATTCTGCTTCATATGAATACAAAAATGGGTCTGCTAATAATGGGCGCAATTGGTACTCATGAGAATTGCAATGAATTGTTGGAAGACCTGGTCTCCCAAAACCGCATAGGCATTGTCAATCAAAAACTCAAGCGTCTTTTAGATACTGCTTTATTTACTTTAAATTACATGTAGTTGATGTTTTCCCCAAAGAACTCAATACGCAAAATTAATTTGAGAATAAAATTTTGTCAAGTGAAGTACAAATAAATTAATATATTTTCAAGTCAGGCAAATTGTGAGACAATTCATCGTTCAAGGCGAAAATTTTACGAATAAAAAAACGTCCAAAGTCATATCTTATTGGTTGAGCAGCAGAATATTTCTCCTTTAAGTTCATACTAGTCTAGTGTATATGTGATGTGCTTTTAATCTACATATTATGTACATGTGTATATAAACCGTAAATTATTTGCATGAAGTGTCTATTTCGGAATATTTAACAATATACATAAAATTCACAAATAAACTGAAAAAGATTACCTGTTGTTTGCATGCTTTCTAGTTTCATGTTGAGTTTCATACTTTGTTCAATTTCAGGAAAATATGACGTCATATCTTTTAAGAGGGGTGTTTTATGGACGTTCAGTGGTGACGTCATTATTATTTCCCTTGCCTTCTTAATGTCGGCCAAGGTCACAACATCATCGTCATCAGAAGTCATCTTCTTTTATATTAAGACCCTGAAAGACATTGGACTTTTCTACAACATGCTTACATGTATCTCCATTGAATGCAAATGGGTGCAGATGTAGGGGCATCGTGGAGCACAATGGAAAAAAGTGATTTCGAGTTTTGTCTAGTTTTCAACCATTCGAACAAACGCATGTTAATGATAGTGGGATATTCTATGAAAAGGCACCACATTAACATGACTGTAATCTTTTGACTAAGCACTGAAAATTCACATTTAATTGAAAATATTCATCTTATCAAGTTCAACTCATCTCGTATAGAATAATTATACTTCAGTTAACAGGTAGGTTTTTAATATCGTTTTTGAAAGGATGAAACAAGAGAAAAAAAATCAACTTACCTGAAAAAAAACTTCAACGAGCAAAAAAAAGTTTTAAAAAACATAAAATAATTAGAATGTAAGATAAAACTAACAGACACATACCCCATGCAGGTATCAGTAAATAATACCGGATATTGACCCGCTGTGTTTATCATTGTTGTGTATCTCAAGTGTAAATGGTAATGTAGGTTATATTCTAATACTAGATGTAAATTAGGTTCGTGAGATATACATTTTACACCCCCCAACACACACCCTTAGACATACACCTTCCAAAGATAAAATGATTTGAGTTTATCAGTTCATTCCATAAACTATGCACACATTTATAGGCACAGAAAAATTTTTTTATTTTTAAAAAGAAAACAAAAAACTGATAGGTTAGATTTAGGTACGTGCAGCTGACTTATAAACTAGGTGGAAAATGAACTGTTCGTATATATATATATATATATATATATATATATATATATATATATATATATATATATATATATATATATATATATATATATATATATATATATAATTATATCTACCGATGTTTATGTCAAAGTTACAAGGTAAATTTATAGGATTCTTGCTTTATCTACTGGCATATAATTTTATTTCTACTCTATAGATTTGCTTAGATTAAATTACAAAATCTGATCGATTATTCAGTACAAGATTGGAGAATCACCAGGTTTGAACAAAAAAAAGAAGAAGTCAATTTTGAAAAAGATTCCATCTTGAGCTTTTCAACATTTCGGCTGTAATTTTTTTTTCTGAAAATAAGTTCTGCATCTGTTCATATTTTAGTTTTACAGTAAATTTAGAATTAATGATGCAAATAATTAACGATATTCTATACATGAAAAACTTTTTAAAATACTCTTGAATTGATATTTTTCCATATTTTTAACAGAGACTGCACGAGTTATTTCGTGTTTCATGCTGATATCCTGAAATAAATTTCAAATTAATGAATTCTAACATCGTACTGTTCGTGACAAAAATGTCAAATATATTGTGAACTAAATACTAAGACTTAGGTACTATTTTATAAAATTGATTTATCTAGAGATCAAAAAATATTGGTGGAAAAACTTCGTATAAATGATCTTCTTTTGGCAGTGCTCTTTATTTATGAAATTCTTAAAAACGTCACGTATATCATTGTCTATTGACCTCATTTTCTGTTTTTGGTATTTAATTAAGCAATGGAAAATAATTTTGTTAAAAAAAAAAAAAAAACTCATGCAAGTAAAATAAAACAACAGGAACCAGCAGTAACCAGATTCGGGTCCTAATATGACCAGTGGTATATATATATAGTGTGTCTCAAAACTACGTTTGACTGAATGCAGGGTCAGTGTATTTAAACTATACCTGAAACAATGCACGTATATGCATGCCTATATAACCAGGTTAGTATATGGGTCTCTGTTGTGTGCAAACGTCACAGTACACCTTACAATATTGGGTGTTTCTTACACCATACTCTGTTGCAAGAAATCGCAATGAAACTTTTAGTTAGTAATTTATAAGACTAGTCTAAAACTGTACATCAGATAAATAGTCTGATATTACCTGTATGATCAATGTCTTCTATAGTTATATTGCACGTTTTTATCTAACAAGTGCATTTATGTTTACAGGTATTGCATGGTGTACATGTATATCCCACGTTACAAAATATAGATCCTGTATATATACTGTATAGATTATTTAGGTCTGTTGATAACAAAATTGTCGACAGAATTTACTTTACCTTAAAAACAGTTTGTAGAAAGTCTTTAAATATGTAACATTCACCTATGCTACCAGTTTTCCGTCCTGCAAGATCACATCAGTATTGTAATGTTGTGCAAGGTTTTGTTTACATTAAAATAATGTAAGGGAAGTTACTCAAAGAAAAAAAAATAGATCGGGTACGGCCTTCTTCAAATTTCACCACACCAAACAAAGAATGCCGAAGGCAAAGAAGACGCAATCGTTTCCTGAGTTAATCACTTCACTGAGTACGTAACAGCCATGTCGACGGTTCAGAATGACACAAATTTTATCAAAACTAAGGACGACAAGAAAATATTCTGCAAGCACTGGTTTTCAGAGGAAAAACCTAAGTAAGATTCTATTATATAGCCTGCAGGTTAGAAAAAATAGCTTCTTATCAATTTCTTTTTTTTGAAAGCTAATTAACTGATAAAGTTGAAAAGGCATCATGGGATATTACTTACACGTAGGGATTATCACTACCTTATATGATAAGGTACCCTTGAAAAAAAATCCAGAAATGTTAAAACATAAATATCTGAAATGAAAGGTTGGAAATGAAAACTACAAATTATCAGGAATGAAAAGTTCAGTAATTTTAAAGATTTGGGGAATGAAAAGCTGCCAATTTATACCATTTACATCTACATAAATACAGTCAATAGCCTGTTATAGTAACAGGGTTAACATAGACATGAAATGCAGCCAGTAAACTGTAAACATTTGTATGAAGAGCAGATAAAGATACATGAAATGCAACAAATAACCTGTAAATATATATGTACAAGAAACAAGCAATTACCTGTAAACATAAGTCTGTCTTGTATCTCAAGAACTGACGTTCAGATTTTTGATGCCAGATCATTAGAAAAATCCTAGTTAAATATTTGTAAAAATGGAAAAATAAAAGTTGAAATTTCAACTAAAACTTTGTCAGATTCCCATTTTCCCGTCCACTTCCAACGGCCCTTCTTGAACCGTTGAAAGGTAAATAAACATTTAGGAATAGGAGTTAAATGTATGGTTAATTATCGGATATTATTGGATATTATAATTTATACAGCATTGAAAAACATTAAATATAAGAAATAATACCTGAAGTGAGTGACAAAAAATCAGCGATGTAAATTGAAGATTTTTACAAGGCATGGATCTGTAGCTCTCTGCTTTATCTGTACGAATTTTCTCAAGCAGAGATCTACAGTTCTGCAGCTACATAAATACATGCTCATATATTTTAGAATAATTCTCAGAGTCTATGAAATGATACTTACATGTAAATTCATGATTTAATTATACATCTTTAGTTAATGTGTATTATATCATGTTACATATATATAAACATAAATATGTTAATGGTTGCCATTTTGATTTTTATTCAACAGGGCACTGATTTTCCTTTGTCATGGTCTGGGGGAACACTGCCTGTGGTATGATGATCTTGCTGAAGCTCTTGTCAACATTGGATTCTATGTATTTGCTCATGACCATGGTAATAGTTTTTTATGTCATATTTATCTGGAAAACTTAGTCATATCATTCAACTGTTTCAATTTGTTTTAAAGTAAAAACTTTGACTAAATTGAAATTTTAAGTTTATTATGTGTGTATATTAAGATCATTTTCATCAGGAGTCACCCCCCTCCTCCTAACACACACACACTACTGGGTACATGTATATATAGATAGATAGTACCAGTGTACAACAGTACGATCTTAACTTTCTGACTGCCACTATAAAAAAATGTACCTGATGACTACACTTTAGATATAATTAATAATTTATATCAAAGTTTAATTTTTTATTTTTTAGTTGGTCATGGACAGAGTGAAGGAACTCACAACCATGTGAATGATTTTAGTGAATATACGTCAGTCATCTTTCAACACTGTGATGAGGTCAAGGTCAAACACCCAGACTTACAGCTGTTCATTTTTGGACATTCCATGGTAACACTTAAAAGAAACTAAATCACAGCAAATTTATACAAAATTATCCTTATGATTAATGCATATGCACTTAATTATTACATGTTTTATGTTTGGGATTGTCCCTAAGATATTATATAAAAGCAGGGGGCATCAAGAAAGAAGAAGGAGGTTGGTTTACCTCCCTTAACAGAGAGTTAAGGTAGGGGAAGCTAGAATAACGAATATCATTATATAAGGGGGGAAATTCCTGGACTGGGGTTTTGTAGGGACAATCCTGCATGATGATGCTTAATATAGCATGATACATGTTGAATTATTTTCCTTTATCAACAGGGAGGGGCTATCACACTCCTGGCAGCTACCAGTCAGCCCAGTCTATTCCAGGGAGTCATCACCTCAGGACCAGCCATAATGGCCACTCCTGGATTATTTGTCTCGATCAAAGTATGTGAAGAAATGTGAAAGTAATATTTTTTGTAAAACATCATGTTCATCAGTTAACTTTGTAGTAATTGAAAAATCTTTCAGACTTGGCTTTGGGGCCATAAAACTTTGATGAGCTCACTTCTGATCTCAGTTTTACTTTTCAGTAAAATTGAAACAGATATCAAAAGTGAGCTCATCTAAGTTTTATAGCCTGGGAACCTGTTGTCTTTTATCAGTCTCTCATTTGACTCTTAGACTGCAACCCCCCTTTTTTTTAGCTTACCTGAGCTGAGAGATCAAATTGTTCAAATCATTACCCCCAGGGGTAGGGTGGGGTGACAATAGGGAATTTTATTTTTGCATTAAAATATGTAGGAGAAATCTTTAAAAATCTTTTATTCAATGATAATGCTTTATAGAAAAAATAACTAGTAATACACTAGATTAGATGACCAGATTTTTAATTTTTAAAATGAATTTGATTTTAAGTTATAAAGATTAATTTGATTTTGTATAGTATGATTTTTTTCAACAATCAATTTGCAAAGTATCATGACAAATAGTTGCAATTATTTTTTCAATGAAATTGTTACAATGTTTTAGTATTTATGTTCTATTTGGTTTTGCCCTAGTTTCATTCATTTGAAAATATAATGAGCAAATATATTTTCACTCTAAATGTTTCTAAGAAAATTGTGAATGCCTCTTAATAGATACCTAAAATATTTGTGAATTGGCATCTTCTCTGAAAAACCCAGTGGGGGGTATTTGTCCCTGTTGGACAGTTCTAGTTTTAATTTAAATCATGACCCCCTGGACCTGTGGAAGGACCACAAAAATTGTCAAATTAAAAAAAAATACATAAAATGTTCAGAGAAAATGTAATTGTCAAAGATATTCATGTATATGTGTATTTTCATCTTTATATCTTTCAGGTATTTCTAGGGAAGATTTTGTCTAGAGTAATTCCTATGTTTAAAATTGCTAACCTACAATCAGAACAGATTTCACGAGACAAAGAGCAGGTGAGAGCTATTTTGATGTTTATGAATCACTTTTTTTTTTTAAAAAAAGCTAACCCTGCTAAATACAAATTGTTGTTAACACATATGTACACAGCTACAGTATGACCAAGAAATATCAACATATTTTGTTTGGTAAATTATGATAGATTCTATTTTTCAATGCATCAGAAGTCTGAACTTCATTCAACACTGGCAAATAAATTAAGTTTAGACCATCATATAAATATAAATGTGTGCATGCCTTTCCTGTCTTAGAGTAAAATTATTTGGTCAATTGGTAGGTAGGAAAATCTTTTTTCCAGATACTTTCAACATATTTGTTGACTGGATAGGAGAGGGGGGGGGGGGAGAAAAAAAATGTGTCCTGGAATGTAAATTAAAATAAAAGTGCTGAGTTGGGACCTTTATAGTCAGTTCAATAGCTGGGAGAGGGTAATCAAACAATATTTTAAAGGTGGCCTTAAGTAAAACAATGCATGCAGTTGAACACTGATATATCAAATACCAAGCCAAAGATACTGTAAACCAACCTTATTTGCGACAACTTTATTTCACAATTATTTGGGATTTTAAAACTAGTTTGTGATGATTAATTTTCATGATCAAGCCTTTTTGCAACTGTTTTTAAAGGGGCATAGACACAGTTTCAACTGAATTTTTAAAACCAAGTTTATGTTTACAATTCCTACCTAAGGCATCATCTAATGATAAGCAAAAATTTGAACATCATTTGTTGATTAACAAACAAGATACAGAACTTAAAGTTCTTCATAATGTAAATAAGGCTCGTGCCTTGTATTTGTTTACATATAGAAAATCTCATATTTATAAGAAAATGAAATTCAGCAAATCAATAGAAACTGTTGAATTGTATTTAAAATTAACTTCTTTATTGAATTTATCTATTTTGAATGGATATATTATAGTGTATTAACCTATTTAAACAAAAACATGAGATGGACCTTGTTTACATAACAAAGGTTTGGAGCTCTAAATCAGTCTTGTATCTCGACAACTGATGTTCGAATTTTTGATGATCAATAGAGAGAACCTAGTTAAATATTTGTAAAAATGGAAAAAAATTTTTGAAATTTTAGCTGAGACTGTGTCCATGCCCCTTTAATAGATGTATACACTTTAAGGATCGGTTTGTGTGAGGATCTCGTGAACTTCGCAAAAATTTCTTGGGCGCGAATGGTTTACAGTATGTCAAAGAGATTTTGAAGACCCAACCACTTTATTTTTCAAACAGTTTACCCTTGATATCATAAATCCTATATTATCACAGAGTTTGTCTTGGTCCAATTGATTTTAAGATAATGAGGTTTGACTATGTGATTTGTAAGTAATTTTGCTCAATCTATATATCAAAATCTGTTCACAAAAAGTAGTTGACTTGCCTTCATTACAATAAACCTGATATAATGCAGTTTTAGTTGAGGTACTGTAGACGTACTTTTTTTCCACGGGGTCATAATTCCGCGGAATCTCAATTTCTGTTTAATCCGCATGTAGAAAATTACGCCGATTTCTTAGACTGTCACTATATGCCTCACATTTATATTAAGTACGCTTGGACAAATTTCCGCGGAAAAGTTGTGACCGCGTACATAGCGTAAATTTATAGTTTATACCACGCGGAAAAAAGTACTTCTACAGTATCTGTTTTTAATAAGTACGATACATGTCAATCCAAGTACATGTATTTATGTTTGTAACTTAATAAGAAAGTATGGATTTATCAACATTTATATCCATTGGTAGGTGATATCAAACAAATCAATGACAAAGATCATTATAATGTAAGAAAAAAAATTACCTGTGCTTAAAGGTAATATCAAATATGTGCATATAAATTATATGTATTCTTCTCTTCAAGTTTGATTTGTCTAACATCTATATAATAATAATCACTTTCCCTTCTTTTAGCATCTGCTTTCTGTAGACTTAGAGTGACCACTAACATTGTTTTACAGTTTTTATGAAGCTGGGCTGCTGCTTGCATCTTGTTCAAACTTTGAGTATTATTTTATTTTAACTTTATTCTGTTTCTTTTTAACAACCTCTCCTGCTTTTTCCCATGGTTAAAGTATTTTCTCTGTGGCTTGAAATATTATTTTATTTGTAAATTTCAGCTGGGCCCAGGTGTAAAAGATTTACCTTATAATGCATTCAACTTCTCTTTCTTCAAGGCTAGCAAATATGAAATAATGAACTGTAATTTGATGTTCAATTCAAAACTTCTATATTAAGTTTTATTCTTAATTTTTATTAAATTAGTAAATCTCTTGTTTTCTTTTTTTTTTTTTTTAGCTCTATTGGTCAGAGACCATAAGAGCTTATGCGATATTAATGCGTCCGTAGTCCGTCCGTCTAGCTGTCCGTCTTTCTGTCTGTAAACAATTTTTCAAAATGCTATTCCTCCTACAGATTTAGTCTGATTTCAATATAACTTGGCACACAAGTAGACTACACTTAGATACATAATTCTGTGCATCAGTTTTTGATTTCGATGAACGGTGTTGCCAAGGTAACTAAAAATAGAAATTTTTGTGAATTTCTTTCAAAATGCTACTCCTCCTACAGTTTTGGTCCGATTTCAAAATAACTTAATAAGCACACAAGTAGACTAAACTAAAATACATAATTCTGTGCATCAGTTTTTGATTTCGATGAGCGGTGTTGCCATGGGTACAAAAAAATAGAAATTTCTGTGAAATGCTTTCAAAATGCTACTCCTCCTACAGTTTTGGTTTGATTTCAGTATAACTTGGCACACAGGTAGACTTCACCAAGATACATAATTCTGTGAATCGGTTTTTGATTTCAATGAACGGTGTTGCCATGGTTACTAAAAATAGAAATTTCTGTGTAATGCTTTCAAAATGCTACTCCTCCTACAGTTTTAATTCAATTTCAACATAACCTGGCACACAAGTAGACTACACTAAAATACATAATTCCATGCATCAGTTTTTGATTTCGATGAATGGTGTTGCCTCGATTACTAAGTATAGAAATTCTGTGAAATGCTTTCAAAATGCTACTCCTCCTACAATTTTGGTGTGATTTTAATATAACTTGGCACACAAGTAGACTACACTAAGTTACATACCGGTAATTCTGTGCATCGGTTTTTATTTTGATGAGCGGGAAGGATCATTTTTAGCTCACCTCGACGAAGTCGAGATGAGCTTATGCTATACCCCCGGCGTTGGCGTCGGCGTCGGCATTAGCATCGGCGTCCCAGGTTAAAGTTTTAGGAGCAAGTCCATTCCCAAGTAACTATAAGCCCTATCTGAACCAAACTTGCATGGATGATGCATCTAGGGATGGACACTACCAGACTTGCTTCGGATGCTGGATCTGACCTACATTTTCTAGATGAGTGACCAGGTTAAAGTTTTTGGAGCAGGTCCATTCCCAAGGAATCATAAGTCCTACCCAGACCAAACTTGCATGGATGATGCATCTATGAATGTACACTACAAGACTTGCTTCGGATGCTGGATCTGACCTACATTTTCCAGATGAGTGACCAGGTTAAAGTTTTTGGAGCAGGTCTTTTCCCAAGGAACTATAAGCCCTACCTGAACCAAACTTGCATGGATGATGCATCTAGGGATGTACAATACCAGACTTGCTTCGGATGCTGAATCTGACCTACATTGTCTAGATGAGTGACCAGGTTAAAGTTTTTGGAGCAGGTCCATTCCACAGGAACTATAAGCCCTATTTGGACCAAACTTGCATGGATGATGCATCTAGGGATGGACACTACCAGACTTGCTTCGGGTGCTGGATCTGACCTACATTTTCATTCCCAAGTAACTATAAGCCCTACCTGAAGCAAACTTGCATGGATGATGTATCTAGGGATGTACACTACCAGACTAGTTTCAGATGCTGGATCTGACCTACATTTTCATTCCCAAGGAACTATGAGCTCTATTTGGACCAAACTTGCATGGATGATGCATCTAGGGATGGACACTACAAGACTTGCTTCGGATGCTGGATCTGACCTATATTTTCATTCCACAGGAACTATAAGTCCTTCCTAAACAAAACTTGCATGGAGGATGCAGCTAGGGATGGACACAACCAGACTTGCTTCGGATGCTGGATCTGACCTACATTTTCATTCCCAAGTAACTATAAGCCCTACCTGAAGCAAACTTGCATGGATGATGTATCTAGGGATGGACACTACCAGACTTGCTTCGGATGCTGGATCTGACCTACATTTTCATTCCCAAGTAACTATAAGCCCTACCTGAAGCAAACTTGCATGGATGATGTATCTAGGGATGGACACTACCAGACTTGCTTCGGATGCTGGATCTGACCTACATTTTTCCATTCCCAAGTAACTGTAAGCCCTAGCTAAACCAAACTTGCATGGATGATGTATCTTAGGATGGACACTACCAGGCTTGCTTCGGATGCTGGATCTGACCTACATTTTCATTCCCAAGTAACTATAAGCCCTAGCTAAACCAAACTTGCATGGATGATGAATCTTAGGATGGACACTATCAGACTTGCTTGGGATGCTGGATCCGACCTATATTTTCCATACAAGAGACCAGGTTAAAGTTTTGGGAACAGATCAATCCGAATGAACTTGAAGTCTTTGATATCTGCAGTTTTAACAGTTATGAATATTTGTTTACACAATACATATTTTTCACACTACACGCATAGAAATGTGTATATACCATGTAGAGGGTTAAGCACAACTTGCAAGAATATTGTTGTTGGGATGAATACTTAATATTAAGAAAATATGATGTAGGATTTGCATTACTTAAACTGATAACATTCGTCGAGGTGAGCTTCGTAATCTTTGATTACCTATGTTTCTATTTATTGCTGTTTTAAAGTTTCAAGTCCCAACTGCTACTTTTCTCTTCCTTTGTTTTAAGTATAAACCAGTAGAGCTACAGTCTTGACAGAGAATTCTGGTTTTTTTTTTTACCTAAGACAAACATCATACGCAGCTGGTTTCACAGATTGCACAAGCTTCACTGATTACACGAAACAGTTTGCAAGAAACACTGTATACATGTATTTTATGTATGAAATAAATTAGTTATCCAGGTTTGTTCAAGGGCGTACAAGGATTTCGCAGTGTTTATTCCATACACCCTTTGGTCTTCTGCCTCAAGGTGTATGGAATAAAAATTGGGGTACTAGACTTGTAAACCATCATATGTCCTTGATTGAATCTGGATAAGTAATAGTTAAGGTCAAAGGGCATGTTCTTCAAATATATGTTTTGTATTTCTTTATATTATATCAAAAAATATTCATAATTACATTCTCTTGTGATTTCTACATTGTTTTCAATATGTATTTAAATATAAGTTCACCAAAAATTGTGACAGAGACTATTCAGAAGATTACCCATAAGGTTTATATAAGAAATATCAGATGTGGTATCTTGTCCAAATGCCTGGTAAGGTACCTCAATTTTCTGTGAGGAAGCTTCTTTAAGTACTTGTACTTTAATGACAAATTATAATTATGGAAAAAAATTATATATTTTTGAGGAACGTGTTGTTTGACCGTAACATGTTTATTGTAGCTGCCAGTTACATGTATTCCCAAATGGCATTTTTCAACTGCTCATGCAAAATTGCTTAGCAAATAATATTGATATTTTTTTTAGATTCATGGTTATTTTATATGCTTTTTCATTCAGTCTTGAGTTGTAATGAGTGTAGTAGTATGTATGTAATAGTATATATTCACTATATCTCAAATTTTTGAACACTGTTTTGACTTTTATTAAATACATTATATGTCAATTTTGCATTTCCATTTTTCATTTTATGTTAAATTTGTTTGAAACAAAGTGTATTATTATAATTTTAACTTGGAGTTTAAAAAATATCCCCAGATCCATTTTAAATTTCTTTCTTAGGACTTTTATAAATCTTTAATCACGATAATGTAAAAGTTCAATGCATTTTTTTCATTGCTTATATTTTTATCATTTTTAATATTAAACTTTCTGAAAGATTTATTAATTGAAAAACCTGTATAGCCAAGCTAAAGCTATTACATGCCAAGTTTACTGTGAAAGGTGCATTAATTTTTGTCCATTAAATGTACATGCAACCCTCAAATATCTATGATAGATTCAGAGACAAAATTAATGTATGTGATTTTATATGTTGTGTCTATTTTAACAGGTAAAGAGGTATGAAGATGACCCTATGGTACATCCATACATTAGGGTGAAGTAAGTGTTCAGTTTACATAGAAATAATAAAAATTAAGTAAAATGGCTTTCTGTACATTGCATGCTATATTAAAAACATGATAGAAATTGTTAAGATATCCACAAGATTAACACAAGGTTAAAGGGTTGCATAAATGCACTATAAATTCCATTCTATGTGGTGTACAAAAAAAAGAGAGTGAATATCATACAAAATAATCTGCAGCTAATGACGGGAATCGGTAAGAAATTCATATTGATGGTTGGGTTACTGAAACTAATTATCGATTATATTGTGGAATTATAATCAGACATTTAAAAATTCTATCAATTTAGTGAAATTAATGGTAAGAATTCATAAATGACTACTCTCAGTAGTGGTTCAGCAGGTCCATTGTTCATTTTCCAGAGACTAAAGTACTTTTGAATTCATACTTGGGAATATGTTTTGTAACCTGGGTATGAATACAATTATCTGTTTATCTGCACCATCAAAATGCACAAATAAGTGAATGGCCAAGTGATAGTTTGAATTTTTTGGCTTAAAAACAATTACCCTTGTAAAATGTAATATAATAAACTTATAAATCAGAATTAAAAAAATGTAATCAAGGGCTTGGATTATGCCATCAATCAACTGATTTTCAATTATAATTGCTGATTGGAACAAAACTTTGACTGCAGAATATTTTGTTTTACAGTATGTCAACAAGAGTAAATATTTTAAATCATTTTGATAACTACAGTTACAGTGCAGGGAAATAATTTTGTTACAGCATCAATGCTGATTTTGGTGCTTCCTATGCTTGCTGATTTTGATGCTTCCTTTGCTTGCTGATTTTGATGCTAGTTATCCTTATCCTGATCCTGGTTTGATCCTTATCCTGATGCTGGTTCGAAACTAGGTCAATGCTAGATATGCTACCGGAAGTAGGATTATCCTGCCAGAAGTGGATAATTCAAAAACAGCATCGCTATTTTAAGCCATTAAAAATAATTTTTGGGAAAATTTTTATTTGTAATTTGTATTAAATGACTTTCCTTTATCTGTTTTTACTTTGGTCAATGCTTGTTCTATCCTTTGCTTGCTGATGCTGATCCAAGTAATGCTGTTTTTTAAAATGCTGATGCTGATGCTAGCTCTATCCTGATCCTACTTATGCTGATCCTGATGCTGGTTTATGTAACAAAATTAGTTCCCTGCACTGTAACCCTCATTAACTGAAAGCTGTTAGAACTGAGAAATAATTTTGTTTTCAGAGAAATCGATTTTATAAGAGATAAAAATATTGGAGACTTTATATTAAATACTTCCACATATCCAACATGTACAAGCTATGTGTCAGTGGTCAAGATTAGGGTTAACTTTAGCCAGAGAGAAAGTTGCTTGCAAAATTTGCAGATATTTCTTGCATGCTTGTAAAATTTGATATATAAATTTTTTTATTTATTTTAGATGGGGTGCTGCTTGGATAGAATGTACCAAAAAACTAGAAGAAAGGATGGGTTCCATTGAGTTTCCATTTTTGGCCCTCCATGGAGATGCTGATGCTTTATGTGATGTTCAGGGGTCAAGGATGTTGTATGAAAAGGCAAAGAGTAAAGATAAAGACCTAAAGGTGAGATTATGAAGATGGTTTTACTTCCTTAACAAATACTGATTTGTAATACTAATATTATTAGTGTGAAAATTCCATTTTGAAGACACACTTGCAGAAAATAATAAGAGATGTATAGTGTTTATTTCATATGCAAGGAAAGGTCTTGTCATGGAAATGCACATTGATAAAATATGAAAACCTGTAAGTTAGTATATGTACATATGTACCAACTATTTAGATGTTATTAGCAAGTTTAAAGTTTGTTAATGTTTTTAAAAAGTAGACTTAATTCAAATTGCAAGGTCAGAAAGTGAAGAAAGGTATAGTCACAAGGAATAAACATGAAATATGAAAGCCTAATCGCCAAGTTTTTGAAAGAAATTGCCAAGGTTTAAGTTTTGTTGACATGCATAATAAGTCTAACTGGAGATGAACAGACTGTGAATCTTTATTTTAGGAGCATTATAATATTCATGAAGGGAATAAAAATTGCAATAAATTTTAGAAATGAAACAAATACAGTGAAACCTGTCTAATTCAGCATGTACTGGAAGACAAATTTTGTGTTAGAATTGACAGTGTGACAGATTGCAAAGTGTAAAATAACATTAAAATTAGGAAAATGGGAAAGAAATTTTACGTGGCAATTAACAATGTGATGGATTACACAGGTGCCTGATTAGACAGGTTTCACTGTACTTGCTTTTCAAGAAGAATATCCTGTAATTGTTGACATTGTAGGTTTATCCTGGATTTTACCACTCCTTGCTACTGGAGCCAGAAGAAGATAGGAAGAGAGTACAGACAGACATACTGGACTGGTTAAAACAAAGGATATGACGAAGTGATAGTAACAGGAAGGTTTGAAAATGCACAGATTCTAATGTTTTCATTTGAATAACAGGCTCAATTTTATCAGGAATCAACTGAGAAAGATTCTGGAATGGCAGAAATGAATTTTTCACACAGTTTTCTTTTCAGTGAGAACTAATTCACTCCATTACATTTACCTTTAGAACATATATGTATTAATTCACTCTTGACTACTTTATTTTTTTAACATATCTGTATTATCAAATGTTATTTAGATACAAATTCTTGTTAATCATTTTATTTTTATTCTTATTTTATCGTTCAGTTTTATTCTTTTTTATATTTAAAGCTGTATAAATTGCATCTTAGGGATTGTTTTTGTTTTTTTACTTCACAAACAAAGTTTTTTTGAAAAGATATATGTTTTCAAGTTTTATGTGTAAATATTTACTACATGTATCATGTTGGAGGTGTTTGACAAATTGTTTGTTCACAATTGTAACAAGAAATATTCATACATATTCAGAACTCGATAAACTCACTTATAAGGTTTTTAATAAGTATATTTACACCATTATGTACAGTAATACCTCATATCTTATATAGAAATTACCGGTAACTTTGTATTTTTAATATTTTTTATGGGTTTTTTTTTGATTGATTTGACATGAGGCCATTTATGGTTTTACTTTGTTTATATTCTTTATTTGTAGATTAGATTATGTAAACTGTATATTGAGCACAGGAACATATCCTTACTATTTAACATGCATTCTCTGTAAGCACCAAAAAATTTACTATAGGGCTTGGAAACGACATATCTCCGATTTTGATGAAATTTGCACCGTAGGTGCACCTTGGTACAAAACCCGCAAATATGGTGTTAGAAGTTTCCCACGTGCACCAGGTTGCCATGGAAACGGATCCATTGAATTTGGCCATTTTCGGCCATTTTTGACCAAACAAAAACATGAAAATTGAGGAAATATGAATGCATTTTTATCTTTATGTAGTGAACTCAAATATAAATCTTTGTATCATAAGAAAACATCAACTGTTAAAGAATACAGGGCATATAACCAGTTATTCCAGAATTGACCCCACTCTTAGAAAATGGTACTGCAAAGTAGCATAGTTTCTCAAAATGTGAAAACTGGAAAATTTGGTATTTTTTGGGAAATTTAAGGTTAAATAAAAAAAATTGTCTACGGAAATTTTTCAAATCATATGCGTGTCGTCAAACGTCAGTATTAGTAGTGTCCCCTCATGAAAAAATTGGAGTGGGATCTCAATGCTATTTTTAGTAACATGTATCTAAAAATAGACTTATTTCAGAAAAAATCCAAAAAATGAAATTTGGGCAGAGTTTAAGATGCCATTGCTAGGTAATTATGAAATATACTGTAAAAGTCAATATGCTAATGTCAGAGACTGGACACCAATAACTACCATGCATATTATTTTCAGGGATTTCCGTTTTCTATTTATAGCTTCAAATGCCTAAATATAGACATGTCTCATAAAGTGATGAAAAATGTCAATTTTCCATCATTTTGAAGCTCCACTGAATCATAAATAATAAAAATATGGATCTCTCCAATATTTCATCAATAAGAACAAGGAATAGTATAATATCTCACAAATTATTGAGGACAGGCTCTCATCTCTATAAATAGTACAAATGTCTAAAAATAGACACATATGAAATTAACTGTTTAATGTTGATTTTCCACCAATTCTCAAATTAGAGATGGGAAATTTACCGACTTACTGTCATTAAATGTAACTGATATTATGTGACTGACAAGAACAAAAGAACATTCAATGGAATGCAGCATGATAAGCAGAGGTTTCCATTTCTATTTATAGTAACACATGTTTAAAAATAGACGTAATGCGAAATATCGGGAAAATGTCGTTTTTTTTGTACTTTTTTTTTTAATTTTGGATGAATAATTCCTGACTATCTGTTTTTAACTGCTATTGGCTTATGGTGACCAACAAGTAAAAGGAAGTCTTATATCAAATACAAAATGAGAAGCAGTGGTTTCCATTTCTATTTATAGTAACACATGTTTAAAAATTGACAAACTGCAAAATATCGGAAAAATGTCGTTTTTTGTACTTTTTTCTCACATTTTGGATGAACAATTGCAGACTATATGTTTTTAACTGCTATCGGAATATGGTGACCAACAAGTAAAAGAAAGCATATACGAAATACAGAATGAGAAGCAGAGGTTTCCATTTCTATTTATAGTAACACATGTTTGAAAATAGACGTGATGCAAAATATCAGAAAAATGTCATTTTTTTGTACTCTTTTCTTACATTTTGGATGAATAATTGCAGACTATCTGTTTTTAACTGCTATTGGCATATAGTGACCAACAAGTAAAAGAAAGCATTTTATCAAAAACAGACTGAGAAGCAGTGGTTTCCATTTCTATTTATAGTAACACATGTGTTTAAAAATAGACGAACTGCAAAATATCGGAAAAATGTCGTTTTTTGTACTTTTTTCTCACATTTTGGATGAACAATTGCAGACTATATGTTTTTAACTTCTATCGGAATATGGTGACGAATAAGTAAAAGAAAGCCTTATACAGTCCCTGAAACGTTCTACTTTCCCACCTGAACGGTGAACGAACGCTGAACGAACGGTGAACGAACGGTGAACGAGCGCAGAGCGAACGGTGAGTGAACGATGTGCGAACGGTGAACGCAACTTGGTGAACGATGTGTGAACGGTGAACGGTGAGTGAACGCAGAAAGCGAACGGAGCGCAAACGCGAGCGCAAAGTGAACGGTGAACGAACGGTGAACGCAAGATGAACGATTTATTCGGAATGCCTTCGGTCTTTTCCTTGTATTGAAATTATTCTTTTATTCTATAATTCAAATGTCAAAAATAAATAGAAATACACATTAGATAAACAAAAGAAAAACAAAATAGATAAATAAATAAATAAATAATAATAAAAAAAAAATCTACACATACGTATGTTTAAATCGATATTTTAATAACATGATTTTAATCGCCGTCAAACGTGTATTTGTTACCGCGTGTAGTTAAAAAATAAATTAATCTTATATAGTAAATAAATAATATGCTTATTCTTTTAACTAATAAAATAATGTGGATTTTAGAAGATAAAACTACTACTGAGATAAACTATAGATAAATAAATAAATAAATAAATAACTTAATTAATAAATAAATAAATAAATAAATAAATAAAAAGTTAACATTTTTTTCTGCACATACTTATGTTTAAATCGATATTTTAATAACATGATTTTAATCGCCGTCAAACGTGTATTTGTTACCGCGTGTACTTAAAAAATAAAATAATTTACTTATATAGTAAATAATTATGCTTATTCTTTTCACTAAAAAAATAATGTGGACTTCTGAAGATAAAACTGCTACTTATAGAATGAATTAATTACATTGTACGGGGTTGAAACAACCGTACATGTATTTCCGTGCCAAAGCGATTCTGAGTAAAATAACGGATTTTTTTTTTATTCACAATTATCTGTTGACATTGACTGTTATCGTACTGCATAAAAATTCTCGTTTAATTTATTTAACTTCTACTGCAAAATATTCTATATTTATGTGCCTTTTTATTCTTTTATGACGATTATTTTAGCTAACTTCTTCATGTATCTGTAGACATTTCCCGGCCGTGATTATTTTTCAAGATGTTGGAAAGAGGCATTCAAATTATTTGTAATTTATATTTCTGATACATGTGTAGATTAAATTTTCAAAACTAAATAAATAATGTGTTGTCATAGTTTTTATTGAACAGAGAAATGTACGAGAGAGAGAGAGAGAGAGAGAGAGAGAGAGAGAGAGAGAGAGATATCCCCTCGATTCTCAGATAAATGTTGTATCAAATGAAAATTCTAATTATTTTTCCTAAATATTCCAAGCAATAAAGGTAATCTTTATTTTTTAGATTGACAAATCCATTTGACAGTAATCATTGGCTTTTATTTTCCATCATCAAGTTCACAGAGTTCACAGGAAGTCCGTGCTATATTTGTAGTAGCGTGCTTGTGCTGTCAATCAAAATAATTCGACACAGTGGAGGTGTGGAAATCGCGTTTCACCGAACATGCCGAAGACAAGGAGTCACTTAGTATTCCAAGAAATTTTAATATTTTTCCCTATCATTTCTAGATCTGATTTTTGCATTCCTGCAGAAAAAAAAAATAATTCGAATATATACTTGGAAGGATTAAGTTTTAAATTGAATGTGAAACATATTCCCTGCCAATTTAAAATACTACTGTCGGCACAAGTTTATACTAAAATATTATTGTTTAATGACTGTTTGATGTTGGTTTTAAGGCTGATTTTCTTGTGTTACAATAAAAATTAAAATATACTGAAAAAACTCAATAGGAATTTTATAAAAAGGCACCGGGGGGGGGGGGGGTTAAATACAATAGCAAAAAGATATTTTTAAACATGTTTAGGTAAAAGGAAGAAATTTTTCTTCTCTAATAATAGACTATTTTAAACAGTTGGTCTTTTCTAAAATTTAAAACCACACCATCAATTTAATTAGCTCTAAAGATATTTAATTAACTGAATATTTGCAGTCTGTTCATATTTCTCAAACCTACATGTAGTTTAAATACGTGTTACTGTAGAAATAATTTTTTTTTTATGTATTCTTGTCCTGTAAAAGACTTCGATTAATTATTATACATCCATTAATAATTTGTCCTCTTTAAAATGACATCAAATTGATGCCGTGCGTGAAGCATTTGTACATTGCCCTTTTTTAATTTAATATTTTAGCATCGTTCTACATACATGTAGGTACTTAATGTATTAATTATTTTCCTGGGAAAATTCATGAAATAAATAACAGCTGAGTTATAATAATAGAAATATACATATCATGGATAATTTTTGCAATGAAATAATTATTCTTTAAACACGATATCTAAGTTATGTAATTAAAAAAACATGTAAATACTTACCATCAAAAAGATAAGTCCTTTCACTTTGGAGTTCCGAATGACAATGAAGACTGAACGATAAGTGAACGGTGAACGCAAGGTGAACGCAAAGTAAACGGAACGAAGAGCGAACGGTGAACGTTTTGTGAACGGTGAACGCGAGCGCACGGTGAACGGTGAACGCAATACTGTGAACGAAGTGCGAACGGTGAACGCACGCTGAACGAACAGTGAAC